AGGTTATGACCCTACTATTTTAAGGCATACTGCATGTTTAGTGTTCAACCCTTTTACAGTTGGACACTACGCTTTCCTCTTTTGATTACATCTGACGGACCAAGTGGGAGACTCTATGATGGATAGTTCGTAAAGCCCTTTGGGACTGGATTGTCTTAATGTTCGTCTTCTGCCTTGCTTCGTCGGGCCCTTGTAGGTGATTTTCTTGTTGCTCTGTCTTCCTTTAGGACATTGAGTACTTTTGTTATGGTCATTGGGTTTACTTTTATATGTTTCTACATGATCATTTTAGTGTTTTACTTATTTAACCTTTTGTAACCATGACAACTGTTAGAATTTCACTTGGCGGGGATTCATTTTATTTACACTGTCTCGTTTATAGGAACATGGTGGGGCTAAGAGCGAGGTTTGGTGCACCATTAACCGGTTTAAACTCCCCAGCAGTCATTATTATGCTGCTGACCGTTCCAAGGCGGCGCCCCACTGTGTTCCTCAGATGTATGTCTATGTTGTTTCATACTGTTTTGGCGACACTTTTGCTTGTGTCCCTTGTTGTTTTCTCGTCTACGGTAAGTATCTTCCCCTTGGCTCTAGTTTTTATTTCTTTGATTAACCCCCCTTCCCCCCTTTCCCCCGGTCTCCTGTCCCCTTCCCCTTTGTGGGCCTATTATTCTTTTCTTTGAATTCCTAATCAGTTACAAATTATTATTTATTATTTAATGATTAATCTGTCCGTGCTCTGTCTTTGCCCTGTCCTGTTTTTGTTTAGGGTCCGCCTGGGCTCCTTGCCGTTGGTTCTTGTTGCTGGGTCATTTTGGGGGTTGCGTTCATTGAACGCCGCCTTTCCTTGTTGATCTTGTTTATCATATTTTATGCCGACAGTCTTGTAATTTAAGTATACGTAAGGTTCTGCAATTTGTATACCTAATTAATTTATAGAAACGCCAAAGAATGAACTAAGAAATCGCAAAATGGCATCAATCTATAAACTTTACATTCAATGATAAAGACCATATGCTATAAAGCTAATATTTCCATTAAAGTAACTCAAATCAGGTGAAAAGCATAAAAGCAAAAAGTTTGTATTTTAACGCATAACAAGTGAAACACGTATAATGGAAAAAGAAAAGAAATGGGTTCAGAATTAAATGAAAACGTGTTTTGTATAATTCGTAGCCCAATTTGAGCGTTCATTTTAGATCATTTTCAAAATGAAAAAGATTTTGAAAACGCGGTTATGCTAGACTAAAATGAAATGATGCACATATCTCGGAAAAATATTTTCAGTATCAGCAAGTCAAATAAGTCAGTGGAGTCCTTTTAACTCTTAATAGATGAATTATTAAATCTGTTTGAGCTCTTACATCGAATAACTTCATTTACCAAAGTTTCGACAGTTTTCGTGTTACCCGCTTTAGTAGATTTTGTCATGTTAAGTGCGATAAATTAATGACCTAAATATAAAGGATGTGTGTACTATTTTGATCTTTGCATCCGTTAAGGTGTAAAACACAAATATATCTTAGGTATTGAGATAATTAGTAATTAGATGGAATTTTGAAAAAGGATTAGATGCTAGGAGGCCGTTGTATCACAGACAATAGGGGATAGCTGCTTTAATGTCGGACACATGAAAACGAACAATGGCACTGGACCAAAACCTAAATGTACCCATGAAGCGATAAAGTCAGAGAATTCCCAGAATCAAATGCCCAGTAATAATACCTAACCAAGAGCTCTTTATCAGATAAAGTGAAAAGTGATCACCACCACATCGAAAGATAGAACGTGGAGATGGATTGGCCACGTCGCTAAATATGCCCGTTGAATAAAATCCATAATCTTGTAGCAAAAGTAGAAAACTAGTCCCCACCTAAAAAAAAGCCGTTCAAATGTTCATGAATTAGTAAATTACAGGACCCAAGAAGGAGCCAGTAATGGGTTGATATTTGGCATGCGTGACCCTAAGTAATAAATGTTTATTAGTATGACACACAATCTTCTTTACTACAGACCTGGGACAGTTTTATTAAAATAACAGATTTTTCCGAAGCTAGTGTGTCTAATCCACTGAAACATCTTATGAAATGGGAAGACGAGTCAAAAATGATCTGATAATGGACAGTAAATATACAGCAATTAAATTTGCGTAAGATAAATATACCAATCTTATAGTCTATCTGTAAAAATAAGTTAATTTGAGATTTTTGTCATCACTGCAGCAGTCTGTCATCAAACAGTGTGATAATAGATATCACACAATTAAACATAACGAAATATAATAAATACGCTTTCATTGCATCAAACTACAATTGAAGATGAGCCTTTTGTTTCTATTCTTTGCCTTTTATACGATTTATAAATATTGGTAATATCACTGGTGATGCTGAGAAGATATACTGATATACTATTCAACACAAACATTTCATGTCTATATGTTTTAAATGATATAGCTTTGAATTTATTTACTAATACCTAACTATTCCTAGTTATCTGAAGTAATATAATATAATATAATCTATATATGACCTAAGATCTCAAATAAAATTTGTTCACACATGCTATACATTGTACAATGCATCAATTGCTTACTTCCGTTTGTCTTCTTTAATTAATTGCATATTAAATCCATGTATAAAACACAACATAATTGTGTGTCAAAACAAGAGAGAAAGAGAAGTAAAATTAGTGAAATTAAAACTTTGGAGATAAAATATAAATGAAGATAGAAAAAAACGTATTTAAACAAAGACATGGAAAAGGTATCAAGAAAACTTTCTCGTTGTCTTGATTTCATCGGTTATCGAATGGATTTGATTCGCTTTCGAAGGAATTTCTATCTCGAATTAGACCGGCGATTAAATATGAAATGGCCAGAATACACACATTTTACCACAGGGAGTAAAGCTGAAGGAATAGCTAAATATTACGGAAGTGATTTAGATCGCTTATTTATTCAGAACGACGTTAAATGTTTAGAAGAAGGGATGACTGATTCTAAATCGATTGTATTTAACATGGATAAATTTAAATGTTCGCCTGGTTATACGAGACTTATTTTAAGCAAGTCTAATAATCATGTGACACCCGAGGAAATCAGTATTTGTCTTATTGAGGAAAACGGCCAAAAGTATATTTCAAATAATTTAACTAGAAGTTTTGTCGAGATTTCTAAATTTGGAAAAAATGCGCTTAAAGTGGACTTAAATGGATTATGTCTTAAATTTGTGAAATACCATGGTCCTTGCGTTTCATTTAAAAGTGACTTAACGTTCGATTTTGTAGCTGGTTTTGAATGTTCCAGTCAACATCTACTCGGGAAATGGGAGCAAAGAAAGAGAACGTATGACTGGCCCGATTCCATATTAGTAAAGGAAATATCAAGATCCGAAGGTCATGTCGTTCCTGTAGCAAATGTTAATAGTCAATTTACAGAAACAGAATGGCGAATTTGCTTCACAAAAGCAGAACTATTTCTTGTGAATGCACTCGAAGAACATCATATCAAAGTATATATATTACTAAAAGAACTTTCAAAGAAGGTTATTAAACCCATCTGCCCGGCAATTACATCATATATTGTGAAAAATATTATCTTATGGCAAGCAGAAAATACACCAAAAGAGCTTTTTGCCCCAAGATTACTTTTGTTTAGATTAATCGATGCCCTTAAATTTTTACAGGACTGTATAAGGTCTAATTCCCTTAGGAGCTATATGATAGAAGACAGAAATATTTTCTACGGGAGAATTTCTGAAAATCAAAGGATGTCAGTTATTGATAAAATAGATAAACTTTTGAATGACGATGAAAAAATAATTCAAGAAGTCAAGACATTGTTCGAGGCTTACGACAACTTTGATACTCCAGCAATCATAAGAAAAGCGAAAAAGGAAGAACAAATTGAAAAGCTTCTAATGGAACAGTCTCTAGTGTTTGTGAACGTATACGACCGCGATCACACACAACAACAATTCCTGGATTGTTTGACAAGAGATAGAGAATTTGTAGAACTGAAAAATGAGCTGTTTAAATTAGTTATACCGGAAAGTTACCAAATACCATTGCTTGCAAGTGATTCATATCTGTATAGAAGACAATTATATCGTATTCTTCAATAGCTGTGATGGAAGCGTTACCAATAACAGCCACCAGTGAATCACACTTAAAATTTAATGTAGTGAATACAGGAAAAACTACATTTCAGAAAAAAAAACTGACTGATTAACCTGACAACCAGTGTGTAAAGCACCAATAAACATTTAGAGTTTCATCCTAAAGTGTTAATAATTATAGTTAAGATGCCCGACAATGTTACTACTTGACCACGGCGCACGCCGTTGTAGATAAAAGAGAAAAATTTGAGTAAATTTGCCAATCATATTACACTTCACAATTATGTCAGATAATATTCTTCCATATACATGTAGTATCAACCTCAACGGGTGCTGTTATTATTATTATTATTATTATACCAAACACCCTTGACATTACTATTTATGACAAAAAATATTTTCCAAATATCTTTTAATTAGCGATTATTTATATCTACTTGACTTGATATTTCGACTAAGTCTATTTTAAGACGCAAGTGCAAGGTGAATTGTTTCATAAAAATCATTTAATATTAAACACACGTATTTGAAAATCCGCTCCTCAGGAAAGGAGAAACAATTACGTAACAAAAAAGGAAAGGGCAGTTATCATCTTGTGATTTTGTTACTTGTCATAACAATGTTGTTTATAATATTTAAATTAACAAGTGGCTGGTTATAAACATATGAAAGTCACGAGACGTATGATTAATATATCTTAATTACCACTATATCGTTCGTACTTGTTTATTGTTATATCTTTGGGAGTGAGTTGCATACGCGACTTTCCACTTTTAAAGTTGGAGGAAGACCTCAGGTGACCCATTGTGCATCGTATTATGAATTATATATGAAACAATAATATTCATCTTTATATTCAAAACAACAGAAAAAATAAACCATAAATTTCAAGCAATTTCTCATAAGTTTATTATTTGACTTATACAAATTTACCATATTTAGTGTATTACAGAACATTCTACAAAAACTTAACAAAACTTGCATCACATGTGTTTCTATTTACATACTTACATATAAAAATCATATAATACATATATAGCAAAGGTCAACAAAGTTCAATAACCATCACTGTATTGGTCAATAAGTAACTTATTGTACAACATCATCTAAACATCAATGAACAATAATTTGTGTTAACTTTAAACCAACAGTCAAATGATTAAATATACTACATCAACACTGCAAAAAGAGTCGTTTTATCAAATGCAGTATTTAAAACTGTCATGCCTGATATGAGACTATTTTGCTATATTCATAAAAAACTAACAGTGTTCAGTAAGTTTTGTATGATTTTTAGTAATATATTAATATTTCTATGACCATTTGTGTATAAGAAGGAAAATTTGTCAATGCATCAAAAGTGTTCTCCTTCAGCAATAGTTTTGTTCAAAGTCAAAGCAGCAAAATTTAAAAATAAAAAAGCCTAAAGCAAAGCAAATAAGTTAAACTAAACTGTGGAACAAACTATAGATCTGACGCAAAAATTTCTATGAATTTAATTTATTACAAAATTAATGATAAACATGGATTTATATGAATTCAAATATTTATAAAATAAGAAACAAAGGTTTCTACCGCGTAAACCTCAAAGAAAATTACCAAAAATTGTTTTGCTGATGATGCTAATGAAAATTAAAGCTATTGTTACCTTTGTTTATTACTAGCTTCAATTATTTATGGGAATCCGTTAAAATTATTTAATTATTTATTATCAGCATTTTTGTATTAAAAAATAATGGATTTTTAAGGTATTGAAATAAAAATAAAGAATTATATAAGCTGTTGTGTTGAATTTATATTATTGGTTAACAAAATGATTTTTGAAAGGTTATATGGCCCTACATAAACGGTTGTCAGCATATATAACCAGAACAGCCTGGTCAGGGTAATCTTGCAAACAAATAAAGGATATTTAAGATTTTTCTACAATAATATTAATATAGGATTTATTTTCATAAAGTGGTATGAACATAAATCTAGCCACTCGTGAAAAAATATCATAATTTTCATATCACAAAATGAAAATAAATCCTGTTTTTATAGAGAAAAAAAGAATTTTCTGTTTTATATTAAATGCTTTTTCTTTTTATTGACCTTACAATTTTTAACACTTCTACTTAATTTTGTGTATTGCCTGAATTAAGAAGAAAGTAGTCTTGCAAAACACCAGTGAAAATATGGTAACTATGTTTCAGTAAAGTAAAAAATAAATGTTTAAAGTGAAAATACTGATAATTAAAATACGCATTCATTTCATAAATGTTTTTCAACATTTCATTACTAAATAACTGTAAATAATAAATGCTTATATACAGCCATATAACCTGTCAGAAAATTGTTATAACAATCTTATTACATATATTTCCGTACTTGTAAAAAATGAAATAAATTCATAAATTGACAGCAGCTGCCATATATACTTTATATGAGCCGCGTCACGACAAAACCAACGTAATGCGTTTGCGACCAGCATGGATCCAGACCAGCCTGCGTGTCTGTACAGTCTGATCAGGATCCATTCTTTTTGCTATCAGTTTCTCTATTTGTAATAGAGTTTGTAAGCAAACAGCATGGATCCTGATCAGACTGCGTGGATGTGCAAGCTGGTCTGGATTCATGCTGGTCGCAAACGCATTATGTTGGTTTTGTTGTGACGCGGCTCAATTATAATCATCACTATTATCCAATGAAAAGCCATGTTACAAATGTGCAGCACTGTATACTCTTAATGCTAGCTTTTGGTTATAAAATAATGATAAATAATGAAAAGCAATGCTTAACAACTACTGCAATAAACAATAATAATAAGCTACAAATTAGTTTTGTGTCTTACAATCTAAAGATTATTTCATAAGCCACAAGGCTAAAATTTTACAAATAAATTTAACTGAGGATGTAACTTATAGACTAAGTGTTGAGGGTGTAAATTTTAGAATAAGTATTTAAGTATTGTACAAATTGTCTAGAATTCCCAGTCCTCATCAAAATGGAGGTCTTCCATTTCTTCTGCCAAGTCTTCTACTGCTGAATCATCTACAAATATATAACATTTTAATATATATTATACATGTATATTATAAAGTATTAATAATTTTTAACATGTTATCTAGATTAAGTCCTATATAAATAGTAGTTTAGAAATATAACTGGAGCCACAAGGCAATGGTTATATATTGCAAACAACCATTATATACAGTCATATAAGCTGTCAAGAATATTTATAACAAATTTATGATACAGAAAAAACCCTTTCTTAGAGAAAAAAGTGATTTCTTCATAAACTGATAGCAGCCGTGTATATGAAACTACATAAACATAACAAATATCTAATGAAAAAGGTCGTTACAAATGTGCAGTATTATAATAAATTATATAAAAGTCACAATTATCCAATGAAAAGCAACCTTATTAACATGCAGTATTATAAAGTCTCCTATAAAGAATACTAACTTACATAAATAAAATGTACCCACGTCTGATAAGTTACTATGTTAAGTTTAAAGCATGAATAAGAGGCCTTTACTTAATTGATTTTCACATTGAATTAAAACAAAATGGATATACAGTCATGTATATATTGCTAAATTGTTATCTTATCACCTCTAACTATAGAAATTTTGTCTTTGGCTAAGCTACACATGGGTTTTCTGTGAGTCTGGTTTGAGTGTGTATAATTAACTTTTGGTTCTCAATTATTTACTTAAGTACTACATGTTTAGAAACTAATTTACAAGTTACTTAAGACAACAGCTTTTATCATTTGAGGCATCCAACTATCAATATCATTATCATCATCATCATCAGCAGCAGCATCAGCATTATTATTATCATTATCATTAACATTATAATCATTATTATCATTATCATTATTATTATCATTAACATTATTATTATAATTTTTATTATTATTATTATTATTATCATATCATTTAACCATTTCCACAGATTTTAAATCCCTTTCTCTAAAATTATATACAACTACATGCATTTTGAAAGAGATTTGATTTCTGGAGAATTAAAGGAGCTCCACTGAGGTAAAAAAGCCTAAAAACATAAAATTTGAATTCCTTCTGACCTTCCTTCCTTTTTTTCTTTCTTTCTTTTCTTTTCTTTCTTTTCTTTCTTTCTTTTTTTCTACCTTTTATTCATCCATCCATCATACATTCACTCCATTCAAAAATTCATTATAAACCACCTATTACATGTTAAGTGTGGTGATAAAAATTGACAAAGTTCGAACCCCAGCAGTGACCTTTAAGTTAGACAAAGAAACCTGGGTCTTACAGCACATTGTCCACCACCATCTATATTTACATAACATAAACAAGAGGGCCATGATGGCCCTGAAGTCGCTCACCTGTATATAGGCCCCCAGAGCGGGGCCAGTTTAAACCCCAGGGCTTTTACTTGAACAAACTTGGTAGACACCCATTAGAAGATGTTTTATGCTAAACATCTAAGGTCTAGCTCATTGAGATTTTTAAAAAAAAATTTGTTTAAGTTTTAACTATACTCATATAGTTAAAAGCAATGACACCCCTAGGGCGGGGCCAGTTTTGACCCCAGGGCTTTTATTTGAACAAACTTTAAAGACACTCACTAGAAGATGTTTCATGTTTAATATCTAAATTCTAGCTATTTGGGTTTCTTCAAAGAAGATTTTTAAGTTTTTGTTTTACATATATAAGGAAAATCAATGACCCCCCGGGGCAGGGGCCAATTTTGACCCTAGGGCTTTTATTTGAACAAACTTTGAAGACACTAACTGGAAGATGTTTCATGCTTAATATCTTAACTCTAGCTATTTGGGTTTTTTCAAAGAAGATTTTTTAAGTTTTTGCTTTACACATAAATAAAATCAATGATCGGCCGGGGCAGGGCCAATTTTGACCCCAGGGCTTTTATTGGAACAAACTTGATAGACACTCACTAGAAAATGTTTCATGCCAAATATCTAAGCTCTACCTCTTTGGGTTATTTAAAAGAAGATTTTTTTTTAAAGTATTTGCTTTACACTTATAAGGAAAATCAATGACCCCCGGGGCAGGGCCAATTTTGACCCCAGGGCTCTTATTTGAACAAATTTAGTAGGCACCCATTAGAACATGTTTCATGCTAAATAATCTTAGCTCTAGCTCTTTGGGTTCTTTAAAAGAAGATTTTATAAGTTTTTACTATATGCATATAGGGAAAATCAATGACCCCCAGGGGCAGGGCCAATTTTGACCCAAGGGCTTTTATTTGAACAAACTAGATAGACACTCATTAGAAGATGTTTCATGCTAAATATCTTAGCTCTAGCTCTTTGGGTTCTTTAAAAGCAGATTTTATAAGTTTTTATTATATGCATATAGGGAAAATCAATGACCCCCTGGGGCAGGGCCAATTTTGACCCCAGGGCTTTTATTTGAACAAACTTGGTAGACACCCATTAGAAGATGTTACATGCTAAATATCTTAGCTCTAGCTCTTTGGGTTCTTTAAAAGAAGATATTTTAAGTTTTTACTATATGCATAAAGGGAAAATCAAAGACCCCCGGGTCGGGGCCAATTTTGACCCCAAGGCTTTTATTTGAACAAACTTGATAGACACTCACTAGAAGATGTTTCATGCCAAATATCTAAGCTCTACCTCTTTGGGTTTTTTAAAAGAAGATATTTTAAGTTTTTTCTATCGGTTGCCATGGCAACCAGAGGTTTGCATGGAATTAAATTCTTTGAACAATTTTTAAAGGTGACCACCAAAGGAACATTCCTGTGAAGTTTGGATGAAATTGGCTCAGCGGTTTATGAGGAAATGTCACAGTGTCGATTCTAGGAATTGAAAAATAGGGGTGATTTTCCCCCCTCTATTTCAAAAAAGGGGGCGATTTTCAAAATTAAGGGGTGCCAATATAAACTGCCAATGTTAAATCGTCTGCATTAAGTTTACACTGAGGCGTTCAACCGATGAAATAATTAAAACGATAATATTTATTTAAGGCAGCAGAAGTTGTCCCCCCTTAATTTTTAAACGAAAACATATTATTACAGAACTGCCGCAATTAATTATAAAGGGATTGGCAATACAAATAATCGACCTATCTTTCACGTCTAGATCGTAGCCAAGCTAGGAATTGCCTCATTTTTCTTGATTATTTACTACACTAAAATGGCGCCCAACTGTCAGACCTAGCACACTAGTTCCGGTCGATACGGAACATTCTGTTAATTCCTTCAACTCACGTAACCAATACCATACAGTACTTAATTATTATAATTAGCTTACAGTTACCTCCCTTCGGTTTTCGGTGAAAATGTAAACAAAACATCCAAATATAATGTGGGATGGAAGTTATACGGTTTTATTAACTTTTTTTATAGATGCGCGATTTTCACGCACATGATTTTGAATTGTGCGCGATCTCTGAAATACTAGCGTGAATCGCGCAATCGCGCGTCCTAGAATAGACACTGATGTCATTTAAAGTAAAAGTTTATGGACGACGGACGGACGCCGGACGGACGGCGGACGAAAAACGATCACAAAAGCTCACCCTGTCTTTGTGACAGGTGAGCTAAAAATGAAAAAGTTTGAACCCCTACAGCGACCTTGACCATCTTAGTAGAAACCCGTCTTGTTCCCGACACACCATACATCATGGTAAAATTCATGTGTGAAAGAAAAATTACAATCCTTCCATGTATACTGAATTTTCAGAGCTGACACAACCACCACCTTCTATATTTATACAACATAAAAAATGACAAAGTTTGAACCCCCATAGTGACCTTGACCTTAGTGGTAGAAGCCTGAGTCTTGTGCCCAACACACCATACCTCTATGGTTAATTCATATGTGAAAGAAAAATTACAATCCTTCCATGCATACAATTTTTAAAGGTGACCACCAAAGGACCATTCCTGTGAAGTTTGAATGAAATTGGCTTAGCGGTTTATGAGGAGATGTTGTTTAAAGTAAAAGTTTACGGCCGGACGACCGAGGGACGGACGACGGCCGGACGCCGAACAAAAAGTGATCACCATGTCACTTTGTGCCAATCATGTTAGATAATCACAGAGAACATGTGTGTGAAGTTTCAATCCATTCCCATCAGTAGTTATGGAGATACCAGCTTGCACGCAAAAACTTAACCAAGAAATTCTAGGTAAAAAAGGGGCATAATTATGCAAGAAAGCAAATCAAGAGTAATGGGACTTGTGCCAATCATGTTAGATAATCACAGAGAACAAGTGTGTGAAGTTTCAATTCATTCCCTTCAGTAGTTATGGAGATACAAGCTTGCACGCAAAAACTTATTAACCAAGAATTTCTAAGTCAAAAAAGGGGCATAATTATGCAAGAAAGCAAATCAGATTTATTGGAATTGTGCCAATCATGTTAGATAATCACAGAGAACAAGTGTGTGAAGTTTCAATTCATTCCCTTCAGTAGTTATGGAGATAGCAGCTTGCACGCAAAAACTTATTAACCAAGAATTTCTAAGTCAAAAAAGGGGCATAATTATGCAAGAAAGCAAATCAGATTTATTGGACTTGTGCCAATCATGTTAGATAATCACAGAGAACAAGTGCGTGAAGTTTCAATCCATTCCCTTCAGTAGTAATAGAGATACCAGCTTGCACGCAAAAACTTAACCAAGAATTTCTAAGTCGAACTAGAACTCCGCAAGTCGGATGTGTCGCCTTGTGAACAATATAGTTTAGGAGAAATGGCCAGGACAAAAATGAAATTTGAAAATCAACACAGGGCAATAACTCAAAAAATAAGAAATGCAGAGCAGCAGTTTCTGTGCACTGCACTTCTTATCAATAAGATATATCATCCTATTAAGTTTCAAGTCTAAAGCTTTTATAATTTATGAGAAATGGCCTAGACAAACAAAATAAAGTATGAAAATTAACAAAGGGGAATAACTCAAAAAATAAGAAATGCAGAGTACCAGTTCTTGTGCACTTCACTTCTTCTTATTGAGATCTATTATCCTATGAAGTTTCAAGTCCATAGATTCTATACTTTAGGAGAAACGGCCCAGACAAAAATAAAGTATGAAAATTAACAAAGGGCAATAACTCAAAAAATAAGAAGTGCAGAGTACCGGTTCTTGTGCACTGTACTTCGGGTCATTATAAGAAGCATGCATACCATGTTTGAAGTCAATCCGACTTATAATGACTGACTTATGCTCCGGACAAGCTTAAGGGGACACCGACGCCGACAACGACGCCGACACCACCAACAAAAGTAACCCCTATATGTCGCCTTTTTCAAGGCCACACAAAAAGGGCATAATTATGCAAGAAAGCAAATCAGAGTTATGGGACTTGTGCCAATTATGTTAGATAATCACAGGGAACAAGTGTGTGAAGTTTCAATCCAATCCCTTCAGTAGTTATAAAGATACTAGCTTGCACGCAAAAACTTAACCATAGGGACGCCAAAGCTGACAAATGGGTGACTGCATTAGCTCAAATAGTCAAGCTGCAAAATGACAAAGTTTGAACCCCCACAGTGACCTTGCCCTGGGTTTTTTAAAAGAAGATATTTTAAGTTTTTACTATATACAAATAAGGAAAATCAATGACCCCCCGGGGCAGGGCCAATTTTGACCCCAGGGCATTGATTTGAACAAACTTGGTAGACACTGACTAGTTGATGTTTCATGTCAAATATTTAAGCTCTAGCTCTTGCGGTTTTCTAAAAGAAGATTTTTTAAGTTTTTACTATATACAAGTAAGATGATGTTTCATGACTAGGTGATGTTTCATGCCAAATATTTAAGCTCGAGCTCTTGCGGTTTTCTAAAAGAAAATATTTTAAGTTTTTACTCTATACAAATCAATGCCCCCCCCTCCCGGGGCAGGGCCAATTTTGACTCCAGGGCATTTATTTGAACAAACTTGATAGACACTGTGTGGTAGATGTTTCATGCCAAATATTTAAGCTCTAGCTCTTGCGGTTTTCTAAAAGAAGATTTTTTAAGTTTTTACTATATACAAGTAAGATGATGTTTCATGACTAGGTGATGTTTCATGCCAAATATTTAAGCTAGAGCTCTTGCGGTTTTCTAAAAGAAAATATTTTAAGTTTTTACTCTATACAAATCAATGCCCCCCCCCCCTCCCGGGGCCGGGCCAATTTTGACCCCAGGGCATTTATTTGAACAAACTTGAATAGACACTGTGTGGTAGATGTTTCATGCCAAATATTTAAGCTCTAGCTCTTGCGGTTTTCTAAAAGAAGATATTTTAAGTTTTTACTATATACAAATAAGGAAAATCAATGACCCCCTGGGCGGGGCCAATTTTGACCCCAGGGCATTTATTTGAACAAACTTGGTAGACACTGACTAGTTGATGTTTCATGCCAAATATTTAAGCTCTAGCTCTTGCAGTTTTCTAAAAGATTTTTTAAGTTGTTACTATATACAAATAAGGAAAATCAATGACCCCCCTGGGCAGGGCCAATTTTGTCCCAAGGGTATTTATTTGAACAAACTTGGTAGACACTGACTAGTTGATGTTTCATGCCAAATATTTAAGCTCAAGCGCTTGCGGTTTTCTAAAAGAAGATATTTTAAGTTTTAACTATATACAAATAAGGAAATTCAATGAGCCCCCGTAGGGCCAATTTTGACCCCAGGGCATTTATTTAAACAAACTTGGTAGACACCCACTAGAAGATGTTTCATGCCAAATATTTAAGCTCTAGCTATTTGGGGTTTGTAAAAGAAGATTTTTTAAGTTTTTACCTTAAACAAATTTTGACCCCAGGGCATTTATTTGAACAAACTTGGTAGACACTGACTAGGTGATGTTTCATGCCAAATATTTTAGCTCTAGCTCTTGCGGTTTTCTAAAAGAAGATATTTCAAGTTTTTTTCTTTCGGTTGCCATGGCAACCAGAGTTCTGCTTTGAATTAAATTCTTTGAACAATTTTTAAAGTTGACTACCAAAGGAACATTCCTGTGAAGTTTGGATGAAATTGGCTTAGTGGTTAATGAGAAAATGTCGTTTAAAGTTAAAGTTTAAGGGCGGCCGTACGCTGGACGAAAAGCGATCAAAAAAGCTTACCATGTCACTTTGTGACAGGTGAGCTAAAAAATAATGATTCATGAAAGGAACATCTTAAGTCTCCCATAAGATTGTAATATCACTGTATTAAACACACACAATTAAGATGGCGTTTTGATTTATGGTAATAAAAATAAAGGATTTCGGTAAATCAAATTTTACCTTTTGGTAGTTTGGAAACATCAAGAAGTGGTGTAACCGGATGAAGCAATGACGGTAACACAGACGTACACCTTTTTCTCAGATTCTTTAGGAATGGATGATTTAGTAGAATGGTTGCTGTAGGCCTGAAGTAGTAAAATAAGAAAATATTAGACTGGCTATTGAATCTACAACTATTTGAAAATTGGAGTAAAACAATACTAGTACGCAACAAAACTGTATAATCTATGGAACATTACTGATTTCCAAAAGCTTGATGTAAATATGTTAAAGCTGCATGCCTCCAGATGAGCCAAAATTTTTCACTAAAACCAAATTTCAAAAAAATGTACTAAGATTTTAGGAAAAGTAAAATGATTCAAGATTCCAGTAATAATGTACATATTATTTGCGATTAATAACTGATTTTGCAGCATATTTCTACTGCGTTTGTCATACAGAAATGACTGTTTTTTTGCATATTTTGTCTTCTTTTAGGTAATTTACATGGGCTGTAAGTGCCGTTTACAATGTGTAAATTACTTTCTTTGCCCACTTCACTGTATTGTTTGGTTTTTTTTTAAATCGTTTTTTTATAATATATAAATAAATATTTAACTTTGTAATATCTACCTTCTGTCCGGATCTCGTTCTAGACACAGTTCTACAAACTGGTGAAAGTTTTGGGTGAATGTTCTATTATAGGCATAACCTAGGGCACTGTTCTTCTGGATGGAGCCTGACACGTTATCTATACCAGAATCCTCTGGAACATCTGTGTGTATGAAAAATATATATATATAATTATATTCTTACACAAAATTATCAACCTGGAGTTTTTAGCATTTGCACAGATACTAGTTATCTAACATCACCTGTGTGTAAGATAAGCTAAAGCTTTGAATGACCTCATTCTGCTGCCGCTATGAAATAAATCTTTCTTGTATATCAGACAGGATTATCTACCGTTTACACCAGTGCTAGAAAACTCTATCTTACACTCCCCCATGTAAGACAAGTCGCGTACTTTAAATGACTTCATTACCATGCGCCTTTTATGAATGAATTGCGTTCTTAGGATGACGTCATTTAGATATTCCGGTATGTACCGGCAGCCAGTGTAAGATTTTTATGATATCAATAAGCTACTATTAGGAAATAGTGCTAAATAATACAAAAAAATGTTTTTGTACTAAATAAAAAATATGTCTTTGTTATTTTTTTAGAACTTCAATCAATTTATACCTTGAGGTGAACTTTGGGTTCTGGTGACCTAAGTATGTTTATTAAAGCTGGACATAAAAGCCATTATGAACTTTTAACCGTTTTTTACTTCTACAGTAAAACTAGCTAAACATTACATACCAGAGTTTGTGACATTTTCATCAGCTGTGAGATCTGCAATTGTTGTACAATCGGCTAACACCGGTTTTGTTCCATTTAACTTTTCTAGTAACATCTGAAAATAATCAAGATCCATTCAAGTATGAAGAAACTGCTATACATATTTATTAATGGATTGCTAACCATACACTGATAAAGGTTAACTGCCCAGTTAGCTCAAAAGGAAGATAATCAGATTTTTTATCGACGGTAGCTGGTTCAATCCTTGGCGAGGGCAAAATTTCTGCGTGAAAAATGATCTTGACATTTAGTCTAAAGGATATTTGTCTTTTACTGCTGATTCAGATGTCATGTGTGATTAATAGTCTAGTAGAAGGACACTTGCAGAGAAATTCATTATTACTAATAATACTGATTGGTTATCCAGGATAGCTGTGTTTAGGTGGACAGATCCCCAAGATATTAAAATCGACTTTAAAACCAAATTGAATAAACAAACATACACTTTGGAGAATGAAAAAATTATACATTTTTTTTTCTCTAGACTCAATTTAAAAGAACGGTAGTCATAAAGTCACATGCAAATTTCTTCATCTCCTGAAACTAAGTAATAGGCCTATAAATTTGTGTAGTGGTATCATTTGTATAGATCTATAACAATCATGTATTACTGACATAACAATCATGTTAGATGAAACAAATTTGGCATTTTGTGATGTTTAAGACAAGTACTGGTGTAAGCTTACTGATCATTCTTAATTAAATTAACTATCTGAGTGACAAGAGATGACTAAAAAATAATCCAATAACTTCATAAGTGCACCACCTAAATCAATTTCTTTTACCCTTAACCAGCCAAATAACTTAAATGAACTTGTCCAGTTTTAAATCTACACAAAACCACACATTATTTAATTATTTTCACGGAAAATTTCAAAATATGTACTGACTGAATAGTAAGCAGTGCAGACCATGATCAGCCTGCTGACCTTGTTCTGCACTGGATACATGGGTGAAATCAGTTGCCATCAGCCGGTTAAGATTTATAATCTGTCACAACATTCAACTTACCTGTGTGGCGGGCATATCAGTAAATGGAGCATAACCATTGGCCAGTTCACAAGCTGTTATACCAAGACTATAGATGTCTGACTTTGTATCATAACCGCTCAAATTCTGAAAATCGTGAAATACATTCATGTATAAACACCACTCAACTGCAAAAATTAATCATGTGAATCATCATCACTTAACATCTAGTTTTTTAAATTCTTACCATCACTGTAAAGGTCATCTGGTAGCATTCCAGCTGTCTTGGTAGCGAACATTCTCAGGAATCCTTCTGTGCATTAATTCAGGCATAAGCACACATGGCACCTTATAGGAACCATTGACCTTCTGTGAGCTAAGCTGGATGGCATTTTTATATGAAAGAATCTTAAGTCCCTAACCTGATTCAAACTCACAGTCACAGATGAGGGGCAATTGATTTCAAAGTCAACTACTTTAATAACTTGGTCAAAGAGGCCTGGTCAGCCATGAAGGCCTTTCACAACAATAAAATAAACACAAATATTTCCAGCATAACTCAAATCAAAACCACATATTATCTACAACAATAAAGAATATGGTATCAATGTTTAGTCTGCAAGCATATATAGTTTCTTAATCTTTTCAAAATTATTCAACAGATATATGTTAACATGATAGTCAAAAATCCATTTTTCACCTGACAACTGTACTAACAGGTACTTTAGTCATGTACTGTAAATATATTTAGCATAACCACTATTGTACACATGGATTTCATTTCACCAAATACTTATTTCCCATGGAATATGAAATACTTTCCAATGGAATATAATATACCAAACGTCAAGAGTAATACCTGTTCAAGTATTTCTGGACTAAACCAACAGAGCATTTTTCGAGGATTGTCTGGATATGTATACACTAGTTTCCGCAATTCTCCATGCTGTAAAAGTTGAAAGGCATTTCTCATACCCGACAAACACACACGACCCGCAGCTGATATAAGTATGTGACTAGATTTCACTCCCCTGAAAAGGTACATAAAATAATTCTATTCCTGCAATTTGACTGGATGATAACAAATGGATATTCTAATATTTGCATAATATAATATGCTAATCTACCTCCTGAGAATTGTCATATATTCAGATATACAACAACTTCTATCATAAGTTTCGTAACAAACATTAAAAGACATGGTTCTTTTTTATTGTGGCCGTTTGTAACACTTTTTCAATGTTTACTCATTAGTCATTTCAATGTTTAATCATTAGTCACTAAATTTATAACATACATACTATATGTACTTCAAAATTATGTGCAGAATAATAAATAATTTATAAAACATGCCCTTGTTTCTACCATAATAGGCATAATTTGAAAATATACATATAAAAACATCTAGAATGTTTGTAATAACCTGTGTATTATCCCTTTAGCATGAAGGTATTCTAACGCATTTAGAATATCTCTTAGTATATAAGCAATCGCTTGTTCTGGCAACCCACTGGTAAAATATGCATGCATCAAATCTCTGCATGAACCTATAACATAAATATGAATCATAAATCACAAGATATACATGAAAGACAATACTGGTTGGGGAGATAACTTCGGCTGGTTGATAAACTCGGCTTTTTATAATTAAATCGAGTTATCAAAATTTTTAATCTAATCAAGCTCACCATCTCATACTATCGCTGGAATTCGACAATATCTGGAAATTTTGTCAAGTTTGGTAAGATATTTAAACAAGAGGGCCATGATGGCCTGAGGTCGCTCACCTGTATATAGGACCCCCCCCCCCCCACCCCCAGGCCAATTTTTACCCAAGGGCTTTTATTTGTTTATTTGAACAGACTTGGTAGACACCCATAAGAAAATGTTTTATGCTAAACATCTAAGTTCTAGCTCATTGGGTTTTTTAAAAGAAGATTTTTTAAAGTTTTTACTATACACATATAGTTAAAAACAATGACACCCCTGAGGCAGGGCCAGTTTTGACCCCCGGGCTTTTATTTGAACAAACTTTGTAGATATTTACTTAAAGATGTTTCATGCTTAATATCTAAACTCTAGCTATTTGGGTTTTTTCAAAGAAGATTTTTAAGTTTTTGCTATACACATATAAGGAAAATCAATGACCCCCCGGGCGGGGCCAGTTTTGACCCCAGGGCTTTTATTTGAACATACTTGGTAGACACTCATTAGAAGATGTTTCATGCTAAATATCTTAGCTCTAGCTCTTTGGGTTCTTTAAAAGAAGATTTTTTAAGTTTTTACTATATGCATATAGGGAAAATCTATGACCCCCTGGGGCGGGGTCAATTTTGACCCAAGGGCTTTTATTTGAACAAACTTGGTAGACATTCACTAGAAGACGTTTCATGCTAAATATCTAAGCTCTAGCTCTTATGGTTCTTTAAAAGAAGATTTTTTAAGTTTTTACAATATGCATATAGGGAAAATCAATGACCCCCCGGGGCGGGGCCAATTTTGACCCCAGGGCTTTAATTTGAACTAACTTGGTAGACACTCACTAGAAGATGTTTCATGCTTAATATCTTAGCTCTAGCTCTTTGGGTTCTTTAAAAGAAGATTTTTTAAGTTTTTACTATATGCATATAGGGAAAATCAATGACCCCATGGGGCGGGGCCAATTTTGACCCCAGGGCTTTTATTTGAACAAACTTGGTAGACATTCACTAGAAGATGTTTCATGCCAAATATCTAAGCTCTAGCTCTTACGGTTCTTTAAAAGAAGATTTTTTAAGTTTTTACTATATGCATATTGGGAAAATCAATGACCCCCTGGGGCGGGGCCAATTTTGACCCCAGGGCTTTTATTTGAACAAACTTGATAGACACTCACTAGAAGATGTTTCATGCCAAATATCTAAGCTCTAGCTCTTACAGTTGTTTAAAAGAAGATATTTAAAGATTTTTCTTTCGGTTGCCATGGCAACCAGAGTTCTGCATGGAATTAAATTCTTTGAACAATTTTTAAAGGTGACCACCAAAGGAACATTCCTGTGAAGTTTGGATGAAATTGGCTCAGTGGTTTATGATGAGATGTCATTTAAAGCAAAAGTTTACGGACGGACGGACGTCGGACGAAAAGCGATCACAAAAGCTCACCCTGTCACTTTGTGACAGGTGAGCTAAAAATAACACACATTTTTACCTGTTTGTTTACAAAACATGCCTATAAAAAGTACGGGAATCCCATTGTTGTGCGCATGTGCAGCAGATGCTCATTTTCAGACCCGCACAGGGGTACTTTTATATATTGACCGACAACCGGTAAAAGTGACGACATTTACGTATACATTTTGTTGATGAAATTCAGACTCACTTTTGTCTTGCTAACTCAGAAAAAAGGCTGATTACACAATTGTAATCTTTAAGTGGAATGGATTGAAAGACTGATGTTAAATACTCCTTTTATATGTTAATGTGTAAGTTGAATACCACTAAATTAATTTCTTCTTCACTCTGTTAAGCTAAGCAAAAATAAATTTGAATCACTAATTCTTTTACTACATATTTAGTTATACGTTAATAAATGATAATGCATGTGTTTTTACGTAAAAATGATTTATATGTTACATAGTACGTTGCATGTAAATGTCGTGTTGTCATAGATATACATTATACTAACGTAATGCTCAACAATTTTGGTAACAAATATTTTCTATTTTACATAAATGAACAGCAAAGAAATAATAAAATGTCTAAACATGTTATTTTACGTTTTAACTTACTCATTTAAGAAGAAAAACAAAGAGCCGGAATTATCTACTCGCGCGCGTTAAAAATATCCTTTTTACGTACCTCTTCCAGGGCCTCTCAAAATTACCCGTTATGTTTCTAAATATAACTTTTATGGTGATACCGGAAAATTGAAGAGCTGAAGTTTATTATGGTGCAAGATTCATCAGAATACGTAAACAAATAAATGAAATATGCCCCCAAAACACTGATTTTCGGCCGAGTTTATCTCCCAAACCAGTACAGCATAAATAAGCATAATTATTGTTTTCATGATTTCATTCTTAAAGAATTCAAGTCTCAATCAAACTCAGCCTATTGTCTGTTTATCTGTATTTAACGCCTATTTTAACACATTTTTTGGTCATTTCCTGATGGTCAGTTCACTCTATCTGCTTTCCTGGATAAATTACCAGTAATAACTAATTTCTCTGCAAGTGACCTGACTGCAAATCCAACATGATTTCAGTGGTAAGAGACAACTGACCATCACACTTTTTTCAAGTCCCAGATAAACTTTCACTGAAAAATTTTGGCCTCATATAAGGATCAAACTAGTAACCTCTTGATAACAAACTGTATTATCTCATTATAAAGCAAGGCCGGCTGTCAAATTCGAACTACACATTGACAGAGAATACAACAAAAATAAAACAATGAAATCATCATTACTTATCTGATGGAACAAAAATTTACATTTACAAATCATTTCCACAATGAAAATCTTAATTCACAATTACCATCATTTATAAATCATTTTGATAATGAATATTTCAAGAAATAATTACCGTAAGCCATTAACGGCATAATGGTCCAGACTTCATTATTGTGTACAAAGGAGGTGTAGTATGGTAAAATAGCTTCATGGTTAAGCTGCCTACACAACACTATCTCATTCTGAAACGTTCAACACGATTTTATTTCAATCGGTGCCTTGAAAGGTGCCATGAAGAAAGACCTTAAGCGACTTTTATAGTGGCTAAGGCAGGCCATATTGTACATTTGTGCAGTTTGTCAATTGGTCTATACTGCTGGCTGACAAACGTTTTGATATCCCTATATTTGATAAATGGACATCACCAAAAAGGATAAATGGGCATGTCAATTAAAAAACTTCAGCCGCTGATTGGTTTTATTAATATCAGTAAATAAATGACAGATTGCTCAAATTCTGAATAGCACAAGACTTTTATATAGTAACAAAACTGTTAAAGATTTTAAAAGACCTTTTTTAATGAAACTCTTAAATATAAAAAACTCAAATGCCTCTCCATTTTCATCGTTCAGGAGAATTAAAAAGTAACGCCTATGTAACAAATGTAGTGCTAAACAGTTTCTGTAAGTTACTCTTAAATTCACAATTTGGACATTTTACTATAATTTTTCCCCGATTCCAATTCACAAATTGTTTGCAAGAATGTCTAGAAAACTTACCTGGACAGAATTCACACTTGCTTCATTCTCTAATTTGTCAAGATCCACCTGTCTGATGGCCACATTATGACCTGAGGCGATGTGTTTAGCCACTGATATAGTAGCAGCCTCATTACAACCTTTACCTGAAGAAACAGAAAATTTACTTCACACTCCATTTGGTAAAAGATTTTTATATTCATTCAGAAGATATGATTTCTGGATAAAAATAATTTCACTATAAATGACATTCTTTTGGTGACTGTCCTAATGCAAATAAAATACAAAATAGAGAAAGCGGAATTCCTAAAAGCAACAAAAACAACAACATTGAAAATGTTGCAGGCACGGTCTAATGCAAAGACTTATTTTGGAGCTGATTTTATGCAAGGTCTTAAATATGGGAAAATCCAACAACATTTATGAAACTTGCACCAGAAAAACTACATAAAGCTTTCAAAAGTTCTGCTAAGTAATAGTTTCTGGATGTTTCATAAATAGAGCATATTGAATAAGTGTAGGTTTAATTCTAAATTTACCGAACATGTTGAATAAAATCATATTATTTAATATGTGAGCCTCTGGTGAGCATAATATTGTTTAATTCAATGAGTTCAATAAATTAAGTATTGCATCTACACAAGTAATAATATTTTATTTATCACATGTTCAAAATAAGAACAACTTACAATTAAAAATAACATTTTCATTGACACGCCTATGGTGTAATACTAACATAACCACACTTTAACACTATGTTCGTTTATAATGCAAACGACGTCACATCAAAGTGTTATTACACTAGTGTAATATCTTTTGTATTAAAATGGCTTTATTAAACTCTTGCGCTGTATTTTATGTGATTAACAATATTTTGTAAAATAACTCAATACTGATCCTATATACTATATATGTTTATCATTTATAAAGCTATCATTAAATGCCATTAAACACTTACCTATGGTAGTATAAATATCATATTGCAATGGTTCATTGCCATATTCCAACATTATATTGGGGAAATCCCCTTTGCTAGAATTCTGGCTACCTACAGGTGATGTTGCATTTTGGTCCTGCAAACCAAAATGAAAAGCAACTTTAGAGCAAAACTAAGCAAACAATTTTATAGATTAATTGTCCCCCTTGTGACTGAGGGGTAGTCCCCTTGCGACTGAGGGGTATTCCCTTTGTGACTGAGGTGTAGTCCCCTTGTGACTGAGGTGTAGTCCCCTTGTGACTGAGGTGTAGTCCCCTTGTGACTGAGAGGTAGTCCCCTTGTGACTGAGGAGTAGTCCCCTTGTAACTGAGGTGTAGTCCCCTTGTGACTGAGGGGTAGCCCCCCTTTGACTGAGGAGTAGTCCCCTTGTGACTGAGGTGTAGTCTCCTTGTGACTGAGGTGTCATCCCCTTGTGACTGAGGTGTAGTCCCCTTGTGACTGAGGGGTAGCCTCCTTGTGACTGAGGGGTAGTCCCCCTTTGACTGAGGGGTAGTCCCCCTTTGAATGAGGGGTAGCCCCCTTGTGACCGAGGTGTAGTCCCCTTGTGACTGAGGGGTAGTCCCTTGTGACTGAAAGGGTAATGGTATCAGAAATGCAGCCACTGTTTATCCCTGCATTGTCATAAGAGGCAACTAAATAGGTTCAAATCTATGGAATTTATGCAATTCTTAGCTCCAGCCGGTGAGGTGATTTCGGCTGGTGCGCCGTAAAACCAAACCAAACAAACAAAAAAGTTCAATTGTTCATGGAAGCAAAACCAAAATGGTGTTATTGATAAAAAAATAAGTAATTCTATGAATAAATTCATTATGTCCCAGAAAAAAAGATGTCTTCAGAACAAACAGAAGTTGCTTCCGTAATAAAAGTACTATGACTTACATCCCAGTGAAGCTATTCTAAATATTATATTTTTTATTCACGCTGGTAAGAAATATCAATTGTTGTTCTACCCTTTTTTGAAGTATGATCTACATCAGTGTTTTTTTTCACTTTTGGGGGAAGGGGGTCGGTGCCCATTGGAGGGGGAAAAATGCAATAGGAGGGGAATTTTTATACAGATCTAAAATATTGATGTGTCACATGATAAACTTGTTGGGATACCAGGAGTAGCTCCCCTTACCTATATGAAAAACCTTGCTTAACAGTAAGTCTTACAGGCATAAAATAAAGCATTTTTCAGCAGTTAGTTGCAAAAAAATGATATTTATTGCAGGCAAACTTGGGCTGCCATATTATAGGGGGAAATTTCAGTTTTGAGGGGGGAAAAAAACATACTATTTTGAGTGGGGAATGCGGAGAATTTCGCCGAATATTTTGGTGAAAAAAAACACTGTACATTCATCCTTATCTGGCAAATACATATATGTTTGAAAATATAAAGTTTGCATAATGATATATTTCTAACTATAAGTAGTCAATTCGTATTAAAAAATGCAAAATAGCTGTTGTTTCAGCAATTAACTTTTAACTCTTCATAATCTTTAGAATTACATAAAGCAGTTTTTAACATTTACTAGAAGAAAAAGAAGAACCTCTTGTACAATTTTGTATATTATTTCAACACATCATGACAAAACCAATGAGTAAAACCACCATATTTCTGTAATCTCACATGTTTATTGTCTGATTTGGTCTCACCAACAGAGTATAGCTCATATGGCGACTTTCTCGCTTTACTGGTGAAGGAAGATATCGGGTGCCTTCCGTGCATTATTTGAGGCACCTGAGTAGAACCACCAACGATCCATAGGCTACCTGGATCGCTTCCTCACATGAAAGAATCCAAAGTTTCTGTCGGGGATTCAAACCCACATAATCTTACATGTATAAGACTTTCCTAGAAACAAGGTTCTAATCTATTTGATAACACAGAGAAAGGAAGAACAAAATACCTTGCTTTTCAAATATTTTTCCTTGTCATATGGTGGGGAGTCTGTTGGACTTGATACTTTTTCACTTGATCTGCTACAATTCTGTAAGGAATTGACAATAACAATTATATATGAATTTACATTCATAATATCAAAGAAACATTGAAAACAAAGCATTTCATAAGTAAATGAAGAGATGAATTTATGTTCAAATTATTAACTCATCAAAGATGAACACAAGATGAATTTATGTTGAAAATATTCCTCATCAAAAGTTAAACCTATTAAAAATGAACACAAGATGAATTTATGTTGAAAATATTCCTCATCAAAACCTATTAAAAATGAACACAAGATGAAGTTATGCTGAAAGATGAGATGTTAAAAGATGAACACAAGATGAATTTATGTTGAAAAATATTCCCTATCATGGATGAAAAAGAGATGGATTAATGTTGAAAATATTATCTTTCAAATATGATCACAAGATGAAGTTATGTTGAAAATATTCCATATCAAAGATGAGCACAATATGAATTTATGTTGAAAATATTCATTATCAAATTGAAAAAAAACTTCAACTTGTTTGGTGGTGGGAAGACATTTTAAGATTGATAAAAAGAATTAAAGAAATTCTAGATGATATGACATCCATTAATCAACTGAAAAATCACCAGTCCTTTATTAAATATAACAGATATTTCAATCAATAAAACAATGAAAGTTCTAAAATTCTAGAGCTTTTTATTTTGAAGGGGAGGGGGAGAGAGAATTTTTCCACAGTTTAAGCAAAGCTTTGTGCAACATATCCAATTAAAATATTTCTTAATTATCTTCATATATAAAGCACACTTGCAACCAATTAATTAAGTGGCAATGAGCATTTACAGTGCTTTAAGAGCAAAGAAAGGTATTTCCTGCAGTATTTGAAAATTTCAATGACACTCCGAAACATTAAATGAGCCGCATCACTACAAAACCAACATAGTATGTTTGCGACCAGCATGGATCCAGACAAGCCTGCGCATCCGAGCATTCTGATCAGGATCCATGCTGTTTGCTATCAGTTTCTCTACTTGTAATAGGATTGGTAAGCGAACAGCATGGATCCATGCTTGTCACAAATGCACAACTTTGGTTTTATCGTGACGCTGCTCATTAATTTGGAAAGAAGTTCTACCATAATGTGACTCCTTTATAATAACAAAAGCCCGGGTTGTAATCTTTGCATTTAATTAACGGAGGCATTTATTACACATCAAAAGAAATTAATGTACTTATAATTAATATTTGACGATTTTATAAAATTCTGATAATCAGAATCATTTGATGACATCTATTATATCTTCAAAAGCTTTATGTCTTTCTTACTTTGGGTTTGTTCAAATATAATAATCAGCAAATAATTAATGAACATTTCTCCTACATGTATCTTTGAATTTACTTTAAGACAACATAAATTGAGATAAGATGATTCAATAATTTCAAGCAATTACTTGTTCACAGGATAAATTTTTAGAGTGTTACACTAGGGTTATTCAAAATACCGTAATTTTCCAGTTACTGTACATTTTGTATGCTGATAATAGTTTTCAACATCATTGTATTGTATTAACCTAATATCTATATATTAAAGATATTGAATTCCTGCTCCCATAAATAGATGTTATCCGGAACTCAGCAAATAAGGGTTTTTCCAAACTAATCCATAGGTACAAACTTTTTACTGTTATAGCTTCATGGTGCATTACCTGTCACAATGGATTAGTCAACCTGTTGCACTTATTTTCAAAGCTGTAACTACCTACAAATTAGCTGGGAAAAAACCCAAAATATTCTTAATTCCGGAGTAGGTCTATTAAATAAAAATGCATATAAAAATTAAACAACAAAAAAAACAAAGCAAAGTATTCAAACTGGGATAAATAATTAAATAATCTAGGCAACTTCAGCTTATGGCAAATTATTTGATAAAATTTGAATCAAACATGTTTCAATTTAAAACAAAATGAAATTTCCTCTTTAAAAAAAAATGAAAATAAAAAATTGTAAAAAATGAACAAGTGCCACATTTGAGTAAACACCATTATACACCCATCTCCTGGTTACCATGACCCTGTTACCTCAAGTGGGTTTGGTGGATGGAGCTAATCAAGGTGCATGCACAGGTGAAGATTGGAGACTAGGTGGAAGGACTGTCAAGTACCTGAGTAAAGTTAACTTTTTGCCAAAATGAGACCCCCCCCCCCCCCCCAAAAAAAAAAACAAAAAAAACAAACAAAAAAAACCCACCAAAAACAGACAGACCAAAGACAATGTCCACCTGATCAATTAATCTTGGGGCATAAAAATATATGATGTATATACATGTATACAACAACTATAACATAAATGATAAAACAAGCTGTTAAAACTGTAACAAAACAAGTCTGATACTTATATTCAGTTACAAATTGACTCACTTCTACCTGTAAAATAAATATTATTATTATGTTTCAGTATGTATACAATGAACATTTAAAAAATGAAATAATTTTTTTAGGCTGGGTTTTGTTGTAAGTCAAACCAACACTGTAAATGTCATATTGCGACTTTCCAACTTTATTGGTGGACCTCAACTGGATAGCTTCGTCACATTCCTTCCTTTTTTTTGTTTCTGTCAGGTTAAAGTTGAAAGAAAATCACTGTAGCACGTTTGGACAAAACTGGGAAGAACACACCGCTGCAAGGATTGAGACCATTTCTTATATATATATCCCCTTTACCTTTGTCTAGGGGATAATTTATTAGGGTTAATCTAAGTTCTTATCATTCATTATTAATGCTATCAGTTGTTTAATACAATGCAAAATATCATTTAGAATAAGAGAAAATTTATTTACCAAGAATGACATTGATGCTGGATGTTGAAGTCAGTCCCCTAGCCTGGTCAGTTTTAACATATCCTCTTCTTTAGGTGTGCAAATGTGTAGTGATAGGACAATTGCAGTTATCAAAAGGACCTAAAATGTATATCAATAATATAGATTTAATTCACTACTTTAAGAAATAATATAAGCCAGGCTATCATACATTGTTGAGAACAAAGTTGAATACTACTGGACAAGTATACAAGAACACAACTTGTTCACCTAACTAGACAAGATTTATATATTTCTTGTGTGTGTTTTTTTATTTTATTTAAATGGGAATGGGGCCTTAATTTGGTCCTGGTGATAGGGAGAAAATGCCCTGTTTACTATAAATTAAGAGGGGTTATATTTCATACAAGAATTCACACAAATTTGTTTTCTTCACTACTTAATGAAGACATTTATATCATCTGAAAGAATTGCTTCTGACACTATCTAAATAGATCTAAATCCACAAATAATTTACTGAATCAAGCAATATTGTGTGTATATTGATAAATATTATCTAAAGGAATAACATCATGAAGATAAATATAGACGGAGAAGAACTGTGATGTCACAAAGTTTAATTCAGTACAGACTGAATTGTGTTCCCGCATATTATCATATGTCGGGGGGATTTTGCGAGATTTAATGCATCATGGATATAAGTAGCCGAAATACTGCATATTGCATGCCCGGAGGTACATCAACATTTTCTACTTATTTAAGAAGTACAAATATTGCTCCGATGAAAATCTATGTTGGCAATGTAAGCAATAATTCATGGATATCGCCAAAGTTTAGAGAGCACGAAAATCAGAGATTCGCGAAAAAACACGATTATCACTGAAGAGCGAAAAGGATTGTGGGTCTGAATATGACTATCATCTATTTTCGGAGCTTCCTATCTGTTGTTTATATACTGTGATAACATTTATTAAATAATTGAAGATATACAGGTGATTGACAAGAAAATAAGTTAAATAAATGGTAAGGCTATATTTTTTGTATTTCTGTTCGTTTTTACTAAACAAAAATTGCCAAAAATATCTTGTCGTATAAAAAAACCGTCAATCCAGTATATATCCAATACTGTATATATTTATGGTCTTATTATTTATAGAGATTTGAAGCATTCACAGAAACCCTTACAATAACCATTATAATAATTTGAGTTACTGATTACTGCTTCTAAATTCATGACGTTTATTCAGCTAAACGATAGTTCGCCATCCGAAAAACATGATATCCGAATATGCTGGAAATATTTTAATGATAAATTGGTTATGATACTAATGCAATAGTTTTCATTTCACAAAATTTCACAACGGTAATAAATTATTGAAAAATACACGATATATTATCCTCCCTTATAGCTTAACTTGAAATATATTTACATCTTCGAAAAAAAGTAATTTTCTATGTTGTTGTTGTTTTTTAACCGGAAGTAGTTAAGATGCGAACGAAATGTATGTGATAACGACGTTTGTCAAACTACCCGCAACGGTTACTTCCCCTGAAAAGTACAGACGAGTTTGGACGTGTGTGCGCAGCTTTTAAAAACTAACAATTTCTTTGGTTAGTTTTAGCTCGATTGCGAAACAAGTTCTTGCAACTTGTATTAAACCGGCAGCACGAAATACCCAAGTATACCCAAATACACCCAAATATAGCAATATTTATTTTTGTTTGTATAAAAAATAGATTATAATGGAAAATAAATGAATATTTATAAAATAATATGACTTAGCTAGTCTGCTATAACTTTCATTCATTCCGTTGAAATGGGCAGTTAAGATGTTGTAAGAAAATAAAGTTGTGACATTTGCTTATCTACTATATAGGTTCTTTATGAAAGTACTTGCAATTTTAAATCAAGATATGATATTTGTTGTCTACACTTACATTTTAAGGTGTAATTTTGTTGAAATTTCATATCATAATTATACAAGTGTCCATGTTATTTAAAAAAATTATAGCTTTAATGGAGTACATATACTCTATACAATGATAGGAAAATGTATATTTGGGTATGTTTGATTATATCTTAGTGAAAGTGTATATTGTATTCATGATTAAAACAACACTTTTTTAGTATAAAACATATATTTTTAGTATAATTGGGCAATATTTGGGTATATTTAGGCAATATTTTGGTATATTTGGGCAATATTTGGGTGTATTTGGGTATATTTGGGTATTTCGTGCTGCCCCACCTTAACCAGTAGTACGCCACCCCTTTCCTTAATTTATGTGGTTAACATGGTTTCTTACAACAATATCTAAATTAGAATTACATGCAATAATGAGTCGGCAAATAGATATCGAAAATAAAGTATTTTCGCGCGCAAATAAAATCGAGTGTTTGATTTATTTTAATTTTAGTGTTTATCACATACCAGTGCCGATTTTGCGACTCCGTAAAAATGGTATTGCACGGCCGTGCATGTATTTTGACGTGATATAGTACTTGAAAACATAGTGTGAAAACGTGCTAAATGTTAGCGTTACATTAATTGATTCTTCTGCACTTTAAACACTCTTTATTTTGGGTAAGTTATAAATAGAATATTAATTATATTCGTGTAGACTCATTACTTACTTAATTAATCTCGTTGAATAAAATAATATTTTGCTCGCCAGAGGTTCGCGCAATATAATTTTATTCAACGAGTTGAATAAACTCAGTAGTGATCCTCTATAATACATGTATATTATTTTCCTCGATTGTCATGTGCTTTAAATAAGTTGTCTCCCTTTACACCGTTGTGTAAAAGCGTAATCGTACTTAAGATCCGTGGCGTAACTCGGTAAATAATTAGAGCTATTTTATTATGAAGTAATTCGGCACAAACTTAACTTTTTACAAAAAATTCTTTTTTTTACTTCTGATAATTTTATTTGCTACGAAAATTAAATTCTAATTTTTCGAAGCCCTATCTTATTTTCGAGAAATTGCAAAGCAGGACAAATCAATTAGGTTAACAAAATATTTAAAAATGAATAAAATATAGTATTTATAATGTTTCACTAAGCCGAAATACAAATGAGCCACGTCACGACAAAACCAACATAATGGGTTTGCGACCAGCATGGATCCAGACCAGTCTGCGCATCCGCGCAGTCTGATCAGGATCCATGCTGTTCGCTACCAGTTTTTCTACTTGTAATAGGGTTTGTAAGCGAACAGCATAGGTTCCTGATCAGACTGCGCGGATGCGCAGGCTGGTCTGGATCCATGCTGGTCGCGAACGGACTATGTTGGTTTTGTCGTGACGCGGCTCAAATATTATATAGTATAATATTCATCTCTCCCTCCACCAGCAAAAAAAAATCCTGTAAACAAATTCAATGGCGATAAAGTTTTGATAGCGACATTTGCTTTTATCAATTTAGACGTTATTTTCGTTTAAAGTTTAGTTGCTCGTGTTTAAAACTCACCCGAATGATTAGTTATCGGAGTACCATGGATGACACCAATAAATCATTCTCACGGAATTGTCGGAGAAAGCCGATGTGTTACGATTGTAATATTTGATTTTAAAGGGACTTCATTGAGTTACATGTATTTGACAAAACGGGACTGGAAATATTTTCTGGAGATTTTCAATTTATCAATAACTTCAATATCCTCAATTTTAGATAATTCGTTCCGCCCGTTTGTCCAAAATATTTTATTTTTATTGAGCGAAATGACCTATTTAAAACAAAAGCGTTTAAACGCTTTAAATTTAGTTTGAAATGCTTTCCCGCCAAAAAATTCTAACATATATACAGTATCGTAGCAAATCGGCTATTTCCGGAACGTTATTCTGCATTAATTCCACCCATCCTTTAACGGGATGTACTTAATTCCGGATATAAACGGTTCAAAATTATTTGAGAAGAATTTCATTAGACACTTTGTCTTTCATTCTAATCCTGTTTTTTCTTTTTCTTTTTAATGCGTTGTGTTTATTGTAGATCAAAGATCGTGAAAAATAACGTCCCGGAAATGACCTATATATTTACGATATTGGCCGATGTAAGAACGTTTTTGGCGGGAAAGCATTATAGTAAGACTACCTCAAATCGGCCTCAGAATTGCACGAAGTATCACTTTTTCTTACTAAATTCTGAGTTTATCATCATTTTTTTTCCATAGGGTTTCGTTTCAAGTGCCTTAGTCGATCTGTGCAAGATTTTCAAATTCTATGTTTTTAGGGTTTGAACCTCGGTGAAGTTTCTTTAAGCCAATTTAAGTTACAGAGCATTAGATCAGCAGTGGAGGAATAAAAGAAAACTTTAAAACATAAATAAACTTTCTGAAGGTCTTAATTTAGAATGAAATATTTTACTTCAACCACTTTTCCTGTACCTTTGAGCACTGTTGCCAATGGATATAATAATATTTAAATTGTCATATAAGCTTTTTCTTTCATATTAAATTGTGCGTGTCTTAACCGAGTATTTTATTTATGAATAAATTTTGAGTTTGAATAGACGAGTATGGATTTTTACATCCTTATTTGGTTGAAAATATAAAAGATAAATGTTATTGGAGACCGTATACACTAACCTCTGGCTACAAAAACATTCTTTACCAGTATAATTTTATAAATTAATTTACATATCTAACAAAAACACGATTAAATTTAGGTATATTTAAGGAACGATGCTATTCACCACTATATATACCATACTTTAAAGGCACATCACGATGCAGAAACGACTAAGTTTAATAATAGTTATTTTGTCTCCGCGCTGATTCAGAAATCATGTGCACGTGGGATATGTAGTCGGTCACTGGCGGTGAAATTGGTAATTACTGGATAGTTATCCAGGAAAGCCGGGTAGGCTGATCAACCGTTGTGTAACATTGGACTGTATTAATATGTATTAAATCAATGCACTTTGTGGTCTTTTTCAAGATCTTTACCCAAAAGTGCGTTTATTCCCAAAGTGTGACGTAACACCGCCGATGACCCAAAATCTATTAAAATCGGTTAAAACAAACGAACAAATTAGAGCATGGTGAACATTTATCATCTCTAGAAAGTAGTGCTAAATGTGAAATCATTTGTCCAAAAATGTGCAAAATATAAACAAAGTTAAGAATTTTGACTGCCATACAAAAAGAGAATAATTCACTATAACTGTACTAACGGTAATATTTTAAAATAATTCTGGAAACAGATAGTTAATAATTATCTTCTACACAAACTTTTCAATCTCCAACTCGAAACGAGGGGTTAAATCCCTCTTTTTCAAAGAGCTTCTGATTATCTTTATAAATCACATTTTTATTGGTAATATTTTGGAAAATTTAACACGATACCAACAATAAAAAGCATTTGAGAAATAAAGATAAAGTTTGTATTTTTAAGGCTTAATGGGCCTTTAAGTGAAGTCGATCATGCATCAGCGAATGATGTCTCCGCAAACGAATCAATAAATAATGAAAGAAAAATGTTGACGTTCTATAATCAAAATACCCATCAATTGAATGAGTAGTGAATAAAAGCTAAGTACAGATTAGTATTAGATCTTTTAATATACACGTAAAGGTAATAAAATACGCTATTTAAGTCTAGGTTCCAAATTTTGCCGATCCGGATAAATTCATATTTATGCGGTTAAAAAAATGCAAAAAATAAATGAATTACAGTGAAAAGAAATGAAATAGTTTTGTTGTTAATAATAAATTAAAATGCTTTGGGGCATGCGCGGTCTCAAATGGATTTAAAACATTTGCTTTTGCAACGCTGATTGTTCGAATCCAGGGAATCTGAATTATTTCAAATGAAATAACTTAAGATATGTTGGCGACCTTTATGCCTCAAAGTGATTAAAAAAAATATTGAAAGAGAAACAATATGGTTTTCTGTTTAGTGCACATGTACCTACATATTCACTTTTCAAGGACAAAGGCGCATTTGAAGGTCAATTGTGCGAGTCTTCATTATTATGTGCGCTCCATATCTGTCATACCATTAAAATTACCAGAGTATGAGGATGCAGGGTCCTGCAGTCATATAACTTAAGGTCATATTTAAAGTTGCATGCCTCCGGATGAGACAAAATATTTCCAAAAAGATCAAACTTTAGTAAAATGTAATAAAATTTTAAGACATGTAAAATATTTTATTTCCGATTAATGACTGATTTTTCAGTATTTATAACCATATTGCTACTGCTTGACTAACATATTCAGGGCTATTTTTGCATAATTTATGTTGACCTCTTTCTGGCAATTTACGCGGGGATTGTAACTGCCGTTTGCAACATGTACATGACTTTCAATTCACAATATTTAATTTTTAAATACATTTTCAAAATTTTCTTACAAATAGCATGAATCTTAAGGCATTATGCTTTCAGATGAATATAACTTTGATAGCATTTGATTCAATTAAAGCAAATTGTGTCACTTGAAGTGTATCAGACGTTAGTTTAAACACTCCAGTCAGTTCACGTAGGACATACAATGCACGAGATATTCATGACAAAATGGCCCTAATATGCTTCCGAGCTTTCCCGATATTTACTTCATCAAACTAGACACTTCAGATGTGGACCGAACTTGGTGAAACCCCATTCGAGGGTCTGCCTTTATGCCAATAAAGATTACACTTCCGTAAATCTCTACACCAAATGCTGATTATGCCTGTAAAATACACGTTCATTATAAAAAAGCAAGAAACTACCTTCTGCATATCAGGCTGGTGAACGATGATGAAACATTCGGCCGATGCGCAGGAGAGCAGTATGTGCACAGATGCGATAAAGGTAATAAGTTCGATCCACACCCAAGTGGTAAGTTTGTCTGAATCGACAAAATCTGCACGAGACACTCCCGGCAGTGTACATGAGAGATGTGTGAGCATTGTCCGAGGCTAAATTTCCTATTTTCTGAAATTTTATTCAAAATTCTACATATATATATAATAAGAATAAATAGTCAACTGTAAATTAAAAAAAGAAACCTCTTTAATATACCAACGTTTCCGCTGAAAAGCCTTCTTCAGGGTACACGAATAAATGATAACAATACACAGGAAATTATGTACTACATGTATTCAGGTGCCCGTTTGTGCTTAAAGATAGCACGGAGGTATTAAGGCTGATTTGTTACGTTTTTGTGCGTTGCGTTGGCGTTAGCGACAACACGACAAAGCGCCAAACGGCGCGTTGTCGCGCTGTCGTCTTGTCGTCCTGTCCCTAGCGCGGCATGCGTTGTCGTGCGGCGTGTTGTTGCGATGTCACATTATTGAAGGATTGACTTATAAGCCAAGCGACAGGGCGACAACGCGCCGCACGACAATGCGCCGTTTGGCGTGCCGCGATAGAGACAGGACGACTACGCGCCGTTTTGCGCTTTGTCAGGTTGTCGCTAGCGACAGGACGATAAGACAAAAGTCCGACAACGCGCCGTTTGGCGCTTTGTCGTGTTGTCGCTAGAGTCAACTAGACGCACAAAAGCGTACCAAATCAGCCCCCATACGGAGGGGCACCTGAGGTCTTCCTTCACATGTATATAATATATTTAAAAGCTTGACACACAAATAAAAATTAGAACTTAAAAATCAAATATCAAAAGGAAGTTAAAACACAATCACACGTAACCAAAATTGAATTATTTCACGTCTTCTACATATTACTGTACTGGCATGCGAGCAGTATCCGTACAAAAATCGTAGTTACTTAAACATTTTTTTTTTTACGCTCACTCACCAAAATTTGAATGTTACATATCAATATTCGGCTCGTCACACAAATCATGGAAATTCCATCATGTTCTAAACATAGAATAACCCTTAGTTATGAGGCCTCATATGGGGTACAGAAATTATCCATTATTTTGTATGAAGAGAAGTAGTTCCCGTACATAAAATTTAACCCATTATAATTATACAATTTTATTATATCGGACCTATTTTTCATTTATAATTGTTGAACAGACCATTTTCTAAGGGATAAATAGATGTAATTCAGGAAATAGAAAGTAGACTAAACGAGTGTATCTATTACCCGGTACCGTTACCCCCCCCAACGCATTCACATGCGATGGCATGCTTGTATACATGATATTTTAAGCATCAAAGCCATACAATTATTTTATATAGTAATATTGGTCAAAATTCTGATAATTAAACAAGTTTTCATCACATTGCCTTCTTATTTGTAAACAGGTGGTATTAGTGGAAACCCCTTAAACATGCCTCACGTGTAAGTATGTTTGCGCATGCGTGCAAGGACGGAATCCCCCAGATAAAACAAGGTCACGTTTTGACAACGCACAGGTGAAAGTGATTTAAAATGAGACTTTTTATACGTACTGCCGAACTGAGACTTAGATTTTGTCTCGTTTATGTATCTGCTTGATTTGAAATGAATTTTTGAAGAATGCATGTAAAAATCAAGCGTTTAAATGAAAAATACGGGTACTGCTTCTGTACGGGAACTGCTCGCATGCCAGTACATGTATTATTATTTTCATTGAGCTCTTTTGGATGATATTTACACGGCCCAGCGCACTGTTAACTATACACTTTCACAAAGAATACTTTAACAACAATATCGATTGGAGATTTTAATATATATAATACTGCAATTAATATATTTAGGGTTATCATGTTTTTGAAGGCGGTTAAATGATAATCTTCGTAACATGGGTTATAGGCAAATTTCGGCACTTTTTAGAACAGGGATAATCTTTTTATCAGTTTCTCTAGTGATACAGTTACTAGTGATAACTTTACCGTACTGGTATTTTAAAGAATTTTCAGAAAGTGTAAGTGTAAACGGTGGATTGCTCTTCGCCTGTGCTAAGATTGGACACAACAAGCAGTGCGGTACGATAGAAAATCCTCAAGGTATATTGCTCTTTTTTCCAAATTAAAGGCCCAATGTGCCTCAAAAATGCTTTATTTTTATTTCTCAAAAGAGTTATATATTTTGGTGTCGAGTTATCTAAAAGGTTATTCATTGGCCAATTACCTGTATCATAATTATTTTGTTTCTGTTGCTTGTTTGGGAATTAGTACTGCCGTAGTGCTTTAGTTTTTTGTATAGAAGTCAAAATACTACCTCTTTTACATTTTGCTACTTTTATTACAAATAATTCAGCGTTCTTTCCTTTAGGTAATATATAAGCACCTTAAATGCTCTAAAACCTTTATCTTAACATTATTAAACTCATGTTTACCTTTTCTAAAGGAGGGAAAATCTTGATTTGTTTTTTAGGTATAGATGTACCTTTAATTTAACTAATGTGTTTCTAATATTGACATTTTCAAATCTTGTTTCGTGTATCCAATTCAATTTATGTATTACGATAACTTTCAGCTATTGATCTTAGCATGCCGACAGTTTAAAGGAATTGATTTGTGAGCTATAGGCAGATTTTTTTTCCATTTACTTTAATAAAAGGTTTGAAAATAGCATGGACCATACAATCTTTTCAACCCGTAACCTGCTTGTTGTTACATGATCTAGTATAATCTACCCATACAACCAATGCAGACCAAGATCAGTCGGCACATAACATGAACCATTCCGTATGATTATTGTCTGCACTGTTTGTTATTCAGTCAGTATAGTTGTATGATGCATGCTTTTGTCAAGATTGAAAAATGGACAATCCCATTTACAATTATATTTAGCGTTAATGAAGTTTAATTGGCAAATTTTGACTTATCCTATTATTGTAGAGCTTTGACATTTTAATCATAGTTAAATGTATGTCTAGCGAAAACAAACTGTAGTTTTTTAAAGTAAATTTGCTCCGAAATAAGGGCGTGCGTGGCCGGGTGGTTAAAGTCGTTGAAACCGCTTGCCCCTCACCGCTGTGGGTTCAAATCCCGACAAGGACCTTCGATTCTCTCGTGTGAGGAATCTATCAATCTAGCTTGACGAACGCCGGTAGGGCTACTCAGGTGCCCGTTCGTGCTTAAAATAAAGCACGCAGGGTCACCTGAAGTCTTCTTCCATAAGTAAAGCTGGAAAGAAAACGACAAAGCTGTGTTCTGACGGTCAAAAGTACTGCAAGTTTTTGTCATGAAAAACATATGCACTTAAACACTGAATGTTTAACACTAAAATGTTGTTTAGAAATGAGTTTGCAATCCACAATAATTTGATTTCCCACTGTGTTGTAACCATAAACGTTTTTTATTTTATCTTAAGGTTAAAATCATTTTCAGAAATGCGGAATCCGTTTTGCACCACTTTTATTGCAAGAGCTGAATACATGTTGTCAGAAATATTTGTATATTAAATCGTGAACTCTTTTATTATTACAGACTGGTATGCAAGAACTCGAGACATAGAGCTGATCGCTTTCCTTATGCTGGTGACCGCTTTAATTATTTGTATGATATTCCTGTTCGTTAGAGACATGAAAATATTGAAACTTGTCAACTGGATTTTATGCTTTAGTTCATGTAAGTATATATACTTAAAATATACTGTTATGCTTACATCAAGCGACAGACTGACATCACTGATGCGTCGTATAAGATAGTCCAAATTCTGTCATAGAGCTGCGATATTTTCTACGACGCCGGAGGCTATGAATTCCTTACCGGTGCGACAAAAACATGAATAGCCTACGACGTCAGTAAAAACGTTTCTTGTAGAAGCACAAGAGCGCATTTTTAACTAAATCCCGCTTGATTTTTTTTTTAAACGAGGGCTTCTGCAGAATGTAAATGCTTAAAAAAGGCATAAGCATTATTCTTGAATAAATGCATGTGTTTAATTCGGTAATTATTTGGTTTCTGTTATTTGCTTCCCGTATAAAAAGAGACCAGTTTCACTAGGCATTTAGAAACGTTATGATGTTTTATATTATTTTGGAATGTTGGGTTACTTTAATTTTTTGTACAATTTTAAGAGATTGTTTTGTTAATTAATCTAATTTAATTTTTTTATTTATTTTTAACTTTACAAAAAATATATTTGCTATGAATTTTTATTCCAGGTGGGTTCATCATCATCGGTGTTACTATATACAAAACTAAATCAAGAGATTATCTGAGTGACATCTCCAGCGCATTTACTCTTGCCATCATTAGTGGAATAGCTGCTCTGGTCGCGGGTGTTGTTTGTTTAATGGATTGGATAAAACAATCTTTTGTATAAAACAGAAAGAAATGAGGACGCTTGGGATAATATCAAAGTAGATGAAATCAGAGGCTTTGAAAAAAAGACTGACTAACTAAATATTAAGCGAAATACAATTGAACACGGTTCAAAAGTCTGAGATATAAGATGATTAAGGTAGCACTCCACAGTTAATTTCAAGTTCCTGCCGTCAATGTCCTACAAGCAATACGTCTAATAATTCTGATACCAAACTACACAACCTGGAAAAAGAAAACACATTTTGTTGAGAACATATATGACATAAGATTGCAAATCTACAAAGAAATTATCCCATCTGCAATAGGCAGGCAGTCAAAAAAGTTGCAATTTATTCCGTTGAAGCTCAAAATCTACAGTGGCCCGAGACCCAAAACAACACATTTCGACCCTCTGGCAAAAAATATCTGCAAATATACAGGCTAAAGGAACACCGTCTCTGCTTTAGCAACTCCCTATACATGCAAAATATCACAAAGAAACTAGTCCTCAACCTTGTAGATTTTTTGCTACTGCTAAAAGTTTGTACGCTCAAATATTGACTGAAAGCAATACTTTTAGAAGTTATGACCTTTTTAACTCGGAATTTATATATAAAAAAAATTGTTATTAACAGACGAGCGTAAACACCGCATGCGCTTCTCTTGTATATTTCAAACATGGCCTAAATTGTGCTATACATTACATGTTATGGGGCGACGGGTCACCGACATAATAACGTTGCGAACTGTAGTTTATTTGATTTATTCCAAAGTAACGTAATATGTGTAGGAAACTGTCCTGGTAGGAGTTGGATTCAATGCATGTTAAAATTTCTAGAAAAACATGTTCCAAAATATTATACATGTATAGTAAATACCCATGCACCTAAAGTCACAGGCGTCCGCCGCATTTTTCTTGCCAATATTGGTCAAATTATCATAAAAAAAAATCTCCCCTCTTACTATAATATTTGCTATAATAATATCATATATCATAATTATATATTAAACGGGTGGTGGATAGTAATTCTGTTCTTGATAATTAAAGGGAAATAATTCTATGAGAATTTTACCATACTAAGACGAATATTACGAACGGAACGCCTGTTTGTCATAATAGGACTGTGATCAAATAGATTTCATTGATCCGTGTTTGATGATTGACATACTAAGAAATAATCAATTTCGATCTGTTTTAGAAACAGTTGTCTGTTGTAAGGATAAATATGTTTTAAAAATATTTTTCTGTATTATAGATAAATAAATGTCCGTAAATTCACTTTGTACAATGCATTTGCTTTTAAAATTTTTGTTTTGTTTACGTTTTGCCAGTCTGTAGCATAAATTACACTATGGTCCCAAGAATCATATCGTATGGTGGCTGATTTGGTACACTGCGCGTTGCAATATCAATAGCGACAACACAACCTATATCGCTGTCGCCTTTTCGTCTTGTCGCTAGTGACAAAACGACAAAGCGCCGAACGGCGCGTTGTCGCACTTTCGGTTTGTCGATAACGATGCACGCCAAACGGCGAGTTGTCGTACGGCGCGTTGTCGCGATGTCGCACTGTCGCTTAGCTTATAAGCCAATCCTTTGATTTGAACCGAGCGACAATGTGACATCGCGACAACACGTCACACGACAACGCACATATGGCGGGCATCGTTAGCGACAGGACAACAGTGCGACAATGCGCCGCTCGGCGCTTTGTCATCTTGTCGTTAGCTACAAGACGAAAAGTCGACAACGATATAGGTTGTGTTGTCGCCTTGGACAACGCAACGCGCAGTGTACCAACTCAGGAGGAAAGTGTGCGTGAGCACCTAGTTCAGAGATGACTTGAAAGGCATAACTGCTGGCAAAACAGCCATTTTCAGTGTTACACTCATTTCATATTGTCTCAGATTACTGTACATTTAGGTTCGTATTGGCCGCCAATTTGATATACTTTTGGCTCAAAATATTTCATATCTTTGGCTAATACTCGGTGGAAATTACGTGGAGGTTGATTATCACCACTTTGTACTTTAAAAACATGTCCGGGGTCCGTACTCGACAGCGATAGCTGCACTTAATATCTTAAAGGGCTGATGGACCCCCATTTAGCATAGACTATCCCCCACCCCGACTAGGTTCAAGTGCATACTTGACAAAATATATACTAAATGACACACTCTTTTTAACGTTTTTGCTTTCTAGCAGTTATTGACATATAAAATGTAAGATTGGACAAATGTATGGTGGCATATATCTGCCAACAGTAAACCATATCATTATCGCGTTAATCTGACATGTAGTTAGTTTTCGTATTAACACGATAAATATCTGATACATTTGTATCTATCAGATTATATAATTTTTTTCTGTTAGATAGGAAAATAATGAATAATTTTACTTCCAAAAACAGTAGTCAGATAGTTTACTCCATGCAACTGTTTTTTTTCTACTCACTTATATCTGAGACGTTCATCAAACATCAAACGAGATACTATATGTTTCAGTCAATACTCTATTAAATGTTTATTTATTTTGTTGTTATTTTTTTGCATGTCCAGATATGAATCTTATGGTTATTTGTCTCTCATGTCATTTGTAATACGTAGTTGTCCACTTGCGAAGAAATTTTTAATTTACTGGGAAAGTTATCCAGGAAAGCCGATTTTGTGGACTGGTTGACGAGATATGAGTTAGAATATGTTAAATTCGGCATAAAACAGATAACACTTTATTGATAGCCAGATGCATTTTTAAATTAAAAGTATTGTATCAAAAAGAATTGTTTTGTATTATTTAGTATTTTACGGTGTTCCGTTAGTGTCAGAGGAGCTCTCTGAGAATGAAAAGTGCGAAGTACGACAGTACGATGGTGACAGTACGATGGCAAAGTTAGACAGTACGATGGTGACAAGACGACAGTACGATGGCGAAGCGCGATATCACGATGGTGACAGTCAATTGTATTGTCGTACAGTTACCATCGTACTGTCACCATCGTAGTACTGTCAACATCGTAACGCACCGTACTGTCGCGCTTTACCATCGTACTGTTGTACTGTCACCATCGTACTTTTGCGCTTCACCATCGTACTGCCACCCATTGTCGACGTTTTCTTCTATGCTAATATTTTATCAGGCACATGCTTAACAGGAAGGTGATAGTACGATGGTGACAAAACGAAATTACGGTAGTGACAATACGACGATGACAGTGCGCCAATACAATAATGACAGTGCAATGGTGACAATACGATATTATGGTAGTGATAATACGATGGTGACAGTACGCCAATACAAAGGAGACAGTTCGACAGTACGATGGTGACACTACGACATTGCGATAGACTATGACCATCGTAAAATCGTGCTTTGCCATCATACTGTCTTACTGTTTCCATCGTACTATTGTGCTTCGTGCTTTTCGTTCTTCGAGAAAACGAGCTGGTCCTAACAGAACATCGTAGTTTTTATGGGGGTCGAGGTGGCGGTTGGGTTGCAATAGTTTTATCTGTACGTTTGTATTGTTTCAAGTTTCGACTTAAACATACTGAAATGACATTAGTGTCCAACTTTATTTGTCATCCAATGAAAACGCTGTTTTTCTGTGCGTTAATTTTCATAGAAGACTACATGTATATCGATTTATGTCCATAGTCGACTTCTATTCTACATAGTGCTTCATAGAACCGCATAGCAACGTAATAAAGTGAATGATGAGGCCAAATAAAGCTTGACACTAAAAATGTTAGTATCATCCGTGCTGTTCTACAGAAATTAGAAACATTCTCCTGTCGCTATCGCTCCTGTCGAAGTTTCTAATTTCTGTAGAACAGCACGGATGAACACTAACATATACATAGAGAAAAAAATCATCCAACGAAATAAACATATTTTGTTGTTGTAATTTACGAATCATTCTATCAATTTCTTTATCGTTTAGAAAGTCTACCAGTTTAACTCGATAAGGTTGGAGACCATCAAATAAGTAATTCAGGGGTCACTGGTTCGATCCCGTGTTCACTTGGTCCTTATTTTATTTGCATTGTTTTATGTTACTAAAATTAGTCGTGTTTTGCTAGAATTAAATGGTAAATATTCAAAATGTAATAAAATTCTGATTTGCAAAGAAGCCAAACTATTTTTGGATGAATTAAACAAATAACAAAACAAATACAGTACAAAAATATTCGGATCAAAATAATGATCAATTTTAGTATTAGGATCAATATTTGGATCAACTGTAAAATGCCCGTATCTTGCAAAAATATCAACAAATTTATTCTAAAATTTCATAAACTACAAGCTATTGCAAGTCTAGTTTTATTAAAGTAATATTAGATATTTAATCAATGAGGATAAACAATGAAGAAAATGTTTGTTTTTTAATTTGATCCTGATCTTCGTGAACACAGGGCCCAGGAGTCGCATGTCCGATCCTCTGGCGAGGCGTACTTCTTCGTGACACTTAATCTTGGACGTTGAATCTAATGGTCATTTGCCTCTAAACACTGTATCAGGAATCTTAATAATCCTGAGCCGCGCAATGACAAAACCAACACAATGGGTTTGCGACCAGCATGGATCCAGACCAGTCTGCGCATCCGCGCCGTCTGATCAGGATCCATACTGTTCGCTTACAACAAGTAGAGAAAGTGATAGCGAACAGCATGGATCCTGGTCAGACTGCGCGGATGCGCAGACTGGTCTGGATCCATGCTGGTCGCAAACCCATTATGTTGGTTTTGTCATGACGCGGCTCAATTATAGTATTAGCAGTTGGTCAGTAACGGAGAAACTGGTCATGACTGTATAGTGAGTGATTCAGAAAGACCTGTAAGTTTGATGGACCGCCTAAATATGACCAAAAATATGTTTTAAGCGGCTTAAAAAAACCTGAAAAACAAACTGTCGTTGAGAAGACAAAATTTGAATTCATAGATCGATCATAAAAACTAATTCAAAACGTATGCTCAGCCGTGACCATTTGAATACATCTTCAAAATATAACTTTTTTATTGATTCCAATGCAGTTTTACACGGCCCAGCGGACTGTTTCTATATACAAAGAGTAAATAAACAACAATATCCAATGGAGATTTTGGGATATATTTAAGTTCTCTTTGACTGTAATTTATGATCATTTCAGTTAAGACTTCAAAAAAGATAGCAGTTAAAAAATTTGCTCTTCAAGATGGGTTTTGGGCAAGCGTCTATAATGTTGAAAGTGGGGTTTATACTTATTATAGTAGCCCTTGTTATACAGATTCTGGCAGTGGCATTACCGTATTGGTATTCTAAAGAAGTTGCGAACAATTATGATGTGTATGGTGGACTGTTCCGCGGTTGTGCTGAAGCCGGCAACACCAAAGCATGTAACAACGTTAAAAACCCTACAGGTACGTTTATACTTCTAGCTTCATTTAACCAATATTTTCTTTAAAAAAAACTTTTTTATTCCGATACAGATTTTTTTTCAATATTTTTATTCATCTTTTTTTCATATAATCGTTTTATATATTATTTTAAAAAAAACATTTTTTTGTGTTATTTTAAGTTATTGAATTAGGAAATCTTTCAGGTATATTAAAAGGAAATTTTAAGAATTTGCAGTGGACTACTATGTTTTTTACTATTTATAAGCGTAAGAATTCTAAAAGTAGTAGAAATTTACATTTCAGTAAAGATTATGGTTACATAGATGTCGAGGATTTATTTCTTCAGAACTATTTTTATTCGAGTATATCTTTGATATATTATAGATTGGTGGGCAGCAACTCAGGCGTTTGAGATCATCGGTCTTCTTATTCTTGTGGCCGCTTTAATCCTTTGTATTATTGTACTGTTCGTCAAGGACATGAAAATATTGAAGATGGTCAACTTTATTCTATGCTTTTGTTCATGTGAGTAGCATGTAAAGTTACTTTATAACTATCTATATCAACGTTCTAATGTCAAAATCAAATGAATCTTTCAAATTTGAAAAAAAACCCTGAATGTATAAATACAGAAATTCTTTAAATCACCAAAGCATTGGTTATTTATCCAAATAAACTAGTAAATCATTAAGATTACATCATATTGTTTGCGAAGTTGTTAAATACTGATGTAAATGTATTCTTTCATTATTGCTTTTTTGCCCTAAGCAGAATGCGCATGCGCGAAATGATATTTCCGTTTCTAGGGAAATCGTATTGTAAAAAGGTCTATAATTAGAAATTTGAACACATATCTAGAGCTTTGTGATCATTTGTCGGATGAAGCGAGAATAAAGGCTTAAATTTGAAGGATTTCAACTTGAAAGTCTTCCTCTCTTATTTGTTAATTACTTAATATGGCGATATATTTAAACAAGATACACAGCTATTCAATGTCAAAAACATCCGACGTGTCATCAGCTTGCAAAATTTAAAGGACGATGATTTCGAAACATTCTTGAAATATTTAAGTAAAGAAGAGACACCGCTGAACAATTGTAAATGAACACCGTTGAACAAATGTAAAGGAACACTGGGGGGAAACGATGTAAAGGAACACCGGGTGAACAGATGTAAAAGGACACTGGGGGAACCAATGTAAAGGAATACCGGTGCAACGGTGTAACCAGTGGACCATTCGTTATTGATGAATATTATCCACTAAGCCAATATCATTTTATTTTATTTTCTTAAAATTTAAAAGAAAGATTATAGAAATGATACGTTTTTTTCTTCATACTTAATTTTTTACGTTATTTACATTTACGTAACTTTTGTTTAAAACTAGTTCATGCTAATCAAGTTTTATTATCAGAATGTCCATTTCTGTACAAAGTCATTCTATTTATACTTAGAGAACATCAATAAGTAAAGTGATATTAATCTTGCAGACATATTTTTTCTTCAGGTGGCTTCATCATCATTGGTGTTATTATATACGGAGCTGAATCAGAGGGTTGGTTAGCTGAATACTCCGGGGCATTTGCTCTTGCAATCATTGCTGGGATAGTTGCCCTTGTTGCAGGTGTACTTTGCTTATTGGATTGGATGAAAGCTCCAGCATAAAAACATAGAGAATCAAGGACGTTTAGGATTATTTAAAATAATTATAGCAATTTTTGTTGATAATTTAAGCGAATGAAGCATCAGAGAATATTAGAATAAGATACAGATTGTTGAACTTTTAGAGATAATAAATGGAACATTGTTTTGACGACTGAGTTACCATTTTTTATGAGATGTTAGGCCTTAATATTAGTCAAAGAGGAATATAACAACTGAAAGGTCATTTATACGTGCATAATGCTCAAAGGACTCCTTTGTATTACAGTTAGAAATGATATTTATTTATTGTAACAACTTTCTTTCCACTAAAAATAGGTCTTATAGAATTATATGTTAGAACAAGCATTTACATTATTATACCATTGTTAAGTTTGTATCATTTTATACGAGACTTTATTATTTGTAATGTATAGGGTTCTCTTCGTATTGTTAAAAATATGGCCTTGACATTCATAAACAGTTTGACGCTGTAAATTGATTAGAGCCACATCATTCTAGAGTTTACCTAAATCTTATTTTTCTTTTATATCATACAATCATACAGAGCGTTCATTTATCAATGTTTTCGTTATTTAGAAAACTCAATGTTTGCTTGTAAAGGTATAATTTAAGAACGATTGGATTCATTCATGTTTACTTTAACTATATATCATGTAAATAAATAGGAAATAAATATAATTAAACTTTTGTGTGTGTCGTCTAGTTATAAATCAATCATCATAATTACGCATATATTAGCTCAAATGATAGACATCCCCATGATAAACGAGGTCCGATCCGCTCGTTAAGGCACAATAGGCTGTGTTTGCTATCGAGTACGGACTACGGGTATGTCATCATTTATGCCCATAAAAGGTTTAATTTTGAAGCGCAAACTTCTGTTATTTTAAAAGAGAACATTTGCGAAAGAAATGAATTTTGAATCTGTACACCAACTCAGGGTATTTCGTTCGGATAGAATTCTTGGCTATTTAAACTGTCTTTGGAGTTTTCGAATCCAGGAAGCAAGTCAAATTTCCATGAATAGTTCTTGAAATAAGGGTATTATTAAACATCTCAAATAGCGTTCCCACCACGAATTCAAATAATTTATAGACATAAATGTGGCCAGGACAGATCGTTTGCTGAAAAAAATATATAATTATGACATTGTATTTTACACAAATAAAATTTCGTCTAATTTGTAATATTATCATTTTTTTTCGTTACAGCTTACAAGTTCATAAATGTAATTCCCTGCCAAAAAGGGCTTTCGAACAATTTAATTCTAATAAAAAACATTTATCCTCTTAACAAATGACGCCAGTTATTTCAAATTCAGTGTATTTCAAATTCATTTACCGCATCTCGATCAACGTGTACAGTCTTGAATCTGCCACAGTTCATTTGTACGACATTTCAGTATCAAATATAGAAAATTTACCAATTACGATATAAATATTTCGCGATCTTGTTATTGTGACTTGATATCTCATTATAGGGCAGACATTTCGTTATCACAGTAAAAAAAGCCAATGTCATGTTACACTCTTTAGTTTTGCATTATCAGTCCTGCCCTGCCCAACTGTGTTCGAAAAAGTGCTACAATGTACTACAAAGCAAACTGCAGAGTTTAGCCTGTTGTGATTAATAGGTTGAATAATTGATTGAATACATGAATGAGACTGTTTGTAAAATGGGTTTCGTGCATTTTAAACACTCCCGCTACAAAATGAACGATAGTTGAGCATTCGACCGATACGCGCGCTAAAAAGGTCATTTTTTTGGTTATCCGAAACAAATTAATCAACAAGTAAAATGGTTTCCTGCGGGGAACATATTAGTGATATAAAGATATTTCATTTAACTATTTTCAACATTGTTTGGGGGGGGGGGGATAAATAAACGTTGGTATCAGACATATATTTGACAATAATCGATCAATATAGAAGAAGGTCTTTGGAAACTGGTGACCGTTGATGACCGAAGAAGGTCGAACATAAAACAATTATTTCTTTTAAAGAAAATGATTAAATAGGCCTACCATTTTATGAATAATTCCGAGCAAAAAAATATAAAATAAAGTAAACACACAAGTCTTCGCAGCAAATATCTCTTTTTATTATATACTTATAAATGAAATATTGAGAAATATTGATGAAATAAAATGCGTATTTTCATTTTCCGTATTTTCACTGTAAAAATTTATTTTTCACTGCAGTGAAACATATTTTCCATATTTTCACTGGTGTCTTGCCGGACTACTTTCTTTTAAATTCTGCCAGTACACAAAATTTAAGGGAAAATCTTTCAAATTTTAATATCAAAAAGGAGAAAAATGTATATAATAGTCAGAAAATTCAAGTTTTTCTATAAATACATGATTTATTTTCATCTTGTGGCATGAAAATTACCATATTTCACTCGTGGCTACCACCACTCATGAAATATTTATTTTCATACCACTCAATGAAAATAAATCATGTATTTATAGAAAAAACTTGAATATCCTCTATTTATTATAACAGATGCCACTACGAATATTTTAATTTTGTAGATTTTCAGTATAAACAATTTATTGTTTGTAACATTTTGAGATACATATTAAAGAAACATTGTTAATTTTCAAACACATCATTCAAGTTTTTCCACCTTAAAGGGTAAAATAGTTATTGAAAATTAAAAATATCACGTAATAGTTTTTTTGTTCTTAATTAGGTGTAATTCTGACTGATTCCCTTGAGGATTATCCGTAACGTACCGGCAAACGGTATTTAGCCAGGTTTTCGAAAAGGTCAATTAACCAATCATGTACGGTTTAAAGATCGCATGCTCCTCCATGTACCGAAAACAGGTCACGTGCTCCTCCATGCCTCAAAAGTTAAACGCGTACCAATACCCTGCGGTTTCCAGACCGCAGGGAATAACTGGTCTATGTATCGGTCTTTTTAAGTCAAAGTTATCCGAAACAAATTAATCAATAACTGGTCTATGCATCGGTCTTTTTAAGTCAAACAGATTGGTACAGACCACTTTTTTTAATTATATCACTAACCGACCAATAGAAAGATGGTAATTTTGTTTTGGGCAAATAAAATGTTTGATATAGTAGGTGGACAGCGAAGCAAACACATGATTCAGAGCGCGCCTACACTACTTGACTTTCTGTAAAAAACAAAACAAAAAACGGACACGTAGTATTTTTCTTCTTTAAATATTTTATTGTATTATATGGGTTGAACTGTATCTAGTTAGTTACCCATACATATAATGTTTCACGCGAAAAAACTTTCGGAATGTGAAACTGCGTTTATATCTTAATATTTAGACGTCCAATTTAACTTTATGAAAGAAAAACTAAATTTTTTTTGAAACATTTTATGAATCATTATGATTAACTTACTTAGAATGGGCGGGCTATGCATATAATCTATGAAAAACAATTAAACATTAAAAATGATTCGGAAGAAAACGAAAACATTTAAAGTATATTTAACACAATATTTCAAGACACATTCCGTGTGTGAATTTATAGGTACATGTACATGCATTAATAATAAAAGCCAGATTTACACAAACATTTATGTTTAATAGCTGCCACTGGAAACCCATTTATGCAACTTATCCAGCATTTAAGCAACTTACCCAGCATTTTGAGAAAAAGGCAAATGATGCATAATTTCTCCCTTCAAGAAGAAACAACTAGGTGGAAAGCACCAGCACAGGAAACCTCGTTTTTGAAATCTTATCCGGAAGACTGTTTGAATTTCCAGTAGGAGCTGAGAGGATACATTCAGAACACCTCGCCGATTATTTACAATCATCTCGGAGATTATATGGGTAAAAAAATAGTTCTACCCAGTGATTTCGCCTAAAAAAACGGATTATTTTAGGTTTGATATGCAACGGTAAATAAAGTCCTTTTTTTGGTGTTGACAATAAATTGAAATAAAGCGTACATATTTTGACGTCAGATTTTAATCGAATTTATTCGTCATTTTTAGCACTATGTTGGTTTTCTCATGGGGCGACCTAAATTACGATGAAAAATATATTTGACAATCAGAATCAATTTTTATTATTTGTTTGGGTCGTCAGACCAAACAAATAATGGTCGCGAAATTCCAGACCCTGATGCTGTTTATTGCAAATGCCGAAAGTAGTCCGCTTTTTTGAAGCGGTTACTTCCCTTTATATGTACACTAACGCCGAAAAATTTAGGGGAGATCACTGCGTAAAGATGGTCAAATGACAGGCGCATTAATTTTCAAGCAAAATAGTTCCCGAATGGTCGAAGATTTCTAATATTGTTTTATTCTTTATAGATATACATGCTTATAGTAAGCTCCATGATTATTTACATCTGTGTCGAAATAATAAGGGTTACAAACCATAATTTAGAATAATATGGTTTTTTTCAGGCCGTTGACATATAACTTCACCGTGGCCGAGGGGTTTGCGCGCTCGTTGAGGAAGCGAGAGGTATGGAGTTCAAATCCCAGTTAAGGCAACTCATTTTTTTCTCAAATTGTTTAAGTCAAATAAACATTGAATTGAATGTGTTGCAATTAGTCTTATAGACAATTTACTAGAATGAAAACGCTGGAAAGCATTGGTGGCACTATACAAAAACAAATTGGTTTATAATCTCACAACCTTCACTTTTCTGACATGCTGAGACCCAAACAAATTCAGCGCCTTCTGTGCTTTGATTTATTATGTACGAACAAAGTATCTAAAGCAAGGTTATATAAATGTTGGAATGAGAAGTGTTCAATAACTTAAGAAGAGTACATTTTGTCATGTAAACAAATGTACATAGAGCAGGGTAGTCGTGACAACATCCAAACAGAACATCTCGCCCTTCTGCATTATGAATGTATGTGTTATACATGAACACCAACGATGTGAGGACACGGGTATTGAGTCCATATTATTTATTCAATGTAGGTACTGCGGCATACTTTCCATTTAATAGTTCATGCGTATCTAGACTAATGTGTGTACACATGAAGGAAATACTATTATCAAATCCAAAATTTATCACTTTAATTAAAGTCACTATGAACCTTAGTTTAAATGAGTAACGGAAAAAACTCAATGTAGATAACTTCAAAGCAATATAAACTTATTTTAAATTACTTGATAGGAGTGCCATCCGAATGGTCTTTTATATATCAAAGTATTTTACATGACTTTTTTGTACTTAAGTTTAAACAGCATACACCAAGCAGGTATTTTATAACGAGGACTATTCTGATGTTTCATACAAAGAATTTTCTCTAGGCCTTTTGAATACGTACAGATTTAGTTATTCAACAATTTCTTTAATGCTTTCATTTCTTCTCATCAATATAAATTATAAGATATTTTATATTAACAGCGTCACTTTGATTAACGATATCTTGTTTAAACTTAAAATCCCTAAAAAAATTGAATAAATTGTACAAAAATACAAAGCAGAGTTTATCCATTCTGCAAATTCAGCAAATTGATATATATCATTCACCACAAATGTAAAGCGATGTTTAAACAGTCTAAAATAATATATCTAAATGTTTTAATAAATCCGGTTTTACTTCAAGACATAACGAAGTTAATTTGTGTTTTATAATCAAGTAAAATTATATATTGAAATATTATCAAAATATATTAAACAAACATATGCTAAATTATAGACTGTTGCAGCTCAATTTCAATATATAATTAATATTGATATTATACATTGGTTGATTTGATTAGTTGATTATATACATGTATATTGATACATCGATTTCCAAAATAGGGACATGAGAGCTTTGACAATTCTTTCCTCCTTTTAAAAAAAATATATACATGTATAAATTATATTGGATTGAAAATAAATGAAATGAAATTAATACCTGAACCAAATCAAAAGTCAAGTTTTAATAAACGAATAAGTTCATTTAATAGAAAATAAGATGTTGAAAAGGCATGTCTATTTTTGATATCTAATAAATTGCGTGGTTTATTACAACAGCGAAGAAAAAACTATTGACGAATATTGATCTTAGCAGTATTCATCGTCCGATTAGAGCGTTCAGTCTAACCATTCAGCGGGGGAGAGTACAACTCAAAAGGTAATTCCTCGCATCATTTACATGTCCCTCTTGACAACTAATAATATGTCGTAAACATCTATAAACACATCGTTGGATACCGACAAATATGTTTTGTGATAAAGAAGTTGGCAGAAGGACTTGAATGTTAACGCAGTTAAAAAGGAAAAGTTTGTTTTCAAAAGATTTAAGGCGGGCAATTTATGAATTAAATCTTTTCAATTTATTTGCTTAGTATTTAAGTCACGTAGTTTTTTTGTGGTTTAAGTAAAGAATGGGTTTCGGTGAAGCTTCTTTATTTGCAAAGATAGGATTCGTCTTGCTTATAATTGCATTCATTCTACAACTACTAGGAATAGCTTTGCCGTACTGGTACTCTGTTGATAAAGACAGCTATGATGCATACGGTGGACTTTTTAGAGGATGCTTTGAGATTGCCAGTTCGAACAAGAAAACCTGCGACAGGATGAAGAACGTTGCAGGTAACTTTAAATTTTCAGACCACAACAAACCTTTATGTACCATATGTATCCAAACATATATTCCTTTTAATGATATAAAAAAACATTGATGGCCTTTAACCGAATGAGACAGGCCTTTAACCGAATGAGACAGAACATTTGAAAATATATAGGTCCAGTATTGAACATAACAAATCATCATTTTCAATGAAAAACGCTCGCAATCGTGCAACGAATTTGAATCATTTTTTTTCAGGCACATTTTCTTTTAATTATTTTACTTGATGCTTTTTAAACAATATGAGCTACACTTGATAAGTGTGTTTAAACTTATAGAGTGCCAATACATGATCCGAAACCAGACACTTTCTTGCGAGAAAGCGCAAACGGTCGTGTGTTCAAGGCCGTGATACTCCAAATAAAAATTGCTTATTCTTTTGAATACTTTTTGAACGATGTTTTATGAAGCACACAATTTGTCTATATCGAATGGTAATATTAATGCTGCCTCGTAAAACTGTGTATCTCAAAGATAGGTAGGAATCTTTCCTGGAGCGAATCCAAGCGACATGCCGAACTGTTTTCCGTTCATAACGATTATTATATATAGTTTCAGTAATATTATGCCCATCCTAGGGCATATAGTGAGTCAACATGTGAAAGCCACATAAGTTTTGCATTTTGCCATAATTCTTTAAATTTTATAATATGTTTCCCATGAATGAGACCCAAGGAAATTTATGTAAATATCCATTAGAATTTTCCTCTAACATTCAAATTTAAAAAAAGAGTTGGGCACTATAGTCATTTTATATTATAGGCAGATTTACATTTTATCCTAAATTAATTTTTAAGTATAATGTTATTTTAATTAAGATGTTTTGTAGGCAAGTTAAGCACCTCGAAGAAATGGATTAGTATACCTGTTTTTATTTCTCATTTAGTTATAACACTTTAAATACCGTGAAAGCTTTTATCAAAGCATTTTCTTATGTTATTTGGTGGTTTTCTTCAATTTGATCATGAAAACCTATATAATTTTCATTATTTCTCAAATTTCGACTTTAATGGGTAATCTATCTCGTTTCTAAATTGGCACTAAAATTCTGAAGCTGTTACGGACCATAGATTTGTCGAAACCATTTGTTGATAATAAAATCACAGATGGTTAAATCTGTCGGTGATTTACGTTATTTCTTCTGTATCTTAAGCACCGTTATCCGGCTTACCAGTGAAATCTGCTTGATAAAAACACGTGGTGTTGTTTTCTACCCTTATGGCAAGTCTACGGTGGCATAAGTTAAAAGGGGTATAGGAAATATTTTATTTACTACGCAACAAAAGTAATTACGTTGCCACATGATAGGTATAACGTGAACACGCAATTATGGAAGCTTGAATTGACTATGGAGGCTTGAATTGACCGAGATGCCGTGGTCACGAAATAGCTAGTACATGCGATAGAATAACGTGACACGCGGTAGCCATAACTTGGCCACGCGATATATTTTACGCGGGTACGCCTACGTACTACTATCGCATGCGCATGTTATACATATCGCGTATTTACGTAACATCCATGCCACAGGTCATATGTATATGTGTAATAAAGTAATGAGGAAACCATCTGCAGTATTCAACAGTAATTTTGATACATTCCTGCAATATGTAATTCACGTATCATTTTAATTAAGATACACGCAGTTCTCTTTTCCTAAATAACGTGCAAGAAAATATGTGCATTTGGTGCTAGATTCTAAAGAAAAAGCTTCAGTATCAAAGTCTAGCACCTTTCCACTTACGTTTGCACCTTCACACTTACGTTAGCACCTTCACACTTATGTTTGCATCTTCACACTTAGGTTTTGCAGTGCACACATTGGTGCTTTAGGTTTGTTTATATTATACATATGCAGTTGTGCTCGACTTGTTATTGGTTGTGATTAAAGTTCAGCAAAATGAAAAATTATTAATATTAAAATGTCTCTGACATGGGGCGAATTAAGTTTTAATGATAATGCATTAATAATACATGATATTTTGTTCAGGTGATGAAAGGAAATGTTTAATGTAACAATCCGTCTTTATTTTAATGCTAATTTAATGCAATACCTGTGCCAAAATACTGTTAATATATAACAGTATCCGGATATCAATCTTGAAAACAATAATTAGTTAAAAGCAGCATGCCTCCAGATTCATGCTACTTTAGTGAATATTTTTAAAAATGTATTAAACAGTAAAATATTGTCAAGTGAAAAGTAAATAATTCACACATTGCAAACAACATTTAAATTTTTCGAATATTGCCTAAAACAGGTCATAATATGTAAACATAGACCTTACTGCGTTAGTAACGCAATAAAATATGGTGATTAATACTGCAAAATCAGTTATTAATTGCATATAACATTTGCCATATTTCTTATTGTGAATAATTTTACATTTCTTAAATTCTTAGTACATTTTTCTCAAGATTGATTTTCTTGAAATATATTGGCTCATCTGGAGGCATGGAACTTTATTACAGATTTTATTTCATTTTTATGTGGGAAGCTATTAGTTTATGGAAACATTCTGCTCTCGAAATCGTACCTTAAACCAATGAAAACTAAGCAATTCGTGCAAACTATATTGATCCTAAGTCCTTAGATTGCCAGTTTAGCCTGACACTTTAACCATTCGCCAAGCTACAACTGTAAACTATAATTCATACATTTAATATGAACATATATTCTAATTATAACTTTTAACGCCTTACGTTTAAATCTGTTTTTAGTTTATACAAAATGTAATTTTAAGTAGAAGCCGAAAATACTTGATTTTAACTGTCAACTTTGATATGTTAAACTTCAGAGTAAATCTTTAATCCTTTAACATGTGAATAAAATAATACTAAATTGAATGCATGACTTTCCGAAATAAAGCTTATTTATTGCATTACTTTTTGAAATAATGTTAAACTTAATGCACTTATTTTTGAAGTAATGTTACATTTAATGCAAAATATTTTGAAATGATGCTAAAGTTACTGCATTACATTTTGAAGTAATGATAGATTTAATGCATTACTTTTTGAACTAATGCTACATTCAGTTTATTACTTTTTATTACTTTTTGAAATAATGCTATATTCAATGCATTACTTTTTGAAATGATGCTAGATTTAATGCATTACAATTTAAAAATACGCTAGTTACGTTACTTTTACAAAATTCAATGATGCTTAAGTTAATAAGCACATATTTGTCAATTTATTGGTTAATATAATGATTAACTAACGTTCAAGTTGTCTCATATATGGTCTAAGGTTTACATTGCCACAATATAGGTATATGTATTTTAACAAAAATATTAATGAGCCGCGTCACGACAAAACCAACATAGTGGGTTTGCGACCAGCCTGGATCCAGACCAGCCTGCGCTGCCGCGCAGTCTGATCAGGATCCATGCTGTTCGCTGTCAGTTTCTCCACTTGTAATGGAGTTGATAAGCGAACAGCATGGATCCTGATCAGACTGCGCGGATGCGCAGGCTGGTCTGGATCCATGCTGGTCGCAAACCCATTATGTTGGTTTTGTCTGTCGTGACGCGGCTCAAATAATTTTTATGGTGAGTATAAACCGATCTTTCATTCAGTATAAAGTATATTTATCATGAAGTTGTCGTTGCTAGTCACGTCCTCAGTAAAAATGAGACTTTGGTTTGGTATGTTATCTCCATTAAATGAAGTAATCACAGTTACTTTTGTACTTCTTTTTTAAAAACCCATTATGCCTCAGGAATGCTGTTATTTCTATTTCTTAAAAGATTTTTGTATATGATGTCCTGTTTTAGTTTCCAAAAAGATTTCCATTGGCAATTTACCTGATCTATCTTTTGCTTCTGTTTTTGTTTTAGTACAGTTATAGTAATTTAATATTTTTTGTAGAAGTCAAAATACTCAAGTCAAAATACTACCTTGTTTACATTTTGCTACCTTTATGACAAATAATCCCACATTCAGCTTTACATTATTTTTGCAATCAGCATCTATAGACATGCTCTTAAAACATTATATAAACATTATCATACTCATGTTTGCCCAATCTAAAGTAGAAAAAAATTGTTAATTTCTGAGGCATAATGTGCCTGTAAGTAATAAGAGTCAAATAAATGTTGGAATTTTATAGTACGTTTATTTAACAAAACATTTTCATGGAAATATATGAATGATTTTATCATTTTTTGTTGTTTTTATTCTTATTTTATTGTTTTATTTTTTTATTGTTTTGTTTTGTTTTTATTTTTGAGAGAATATTTAGAAGAAAAAAATATTGATTTAAGACTGGACATTTGATGCATATGATAAAAGAGCCCCAACAAAATTTATTAAAGTGAATTGTGTTTATAATGGAAGGTCCGAAATACAATGCATAATTACTTTGATAGTATTTAGTATTAAACATAAGAACATACCACTATAAAAAACAAGTAAAATGGTTTTCTGCGGGGAACATTTTTAATGATATAAAGATATATAGTTGACAATAATCGATCAATATAGAAGAAGGTCTTTGGAAACTGGTGACCGTTGAAGACCGGAGAAGGTCGAACATAAAACAATTATTTCTTTTTAAGAAAATGATAAATAGGCCTACCATTTTATGAATAATTCCGAGCAAACAAAGAATAAAGTAAACACACAAGTTTACGCAGAAAACATCTGTATTTATTATGGCAGATGCCACAACGAATATTTTAATTTTGTAGATTTTCAGTATAAACAATTTATTGTTTGTAAAATTTGAGATACATTTATTAAAGAAACAATGATAATTTTCAAATAAATCATTCAAGTTTTTCCACCTTAAACGGTAAAATAATTATAGAAAATTAGAAATATCACGTAATAGGTTTTTGTTCTTAATTAGGTTTAATTCTGACTAATTCCCTAGAGGTAATTCCGTAACGTACCGAGAAACGGTATTTAGCCAGGTTTTCGAAAAAGTCAATTAACCAATCGTGTACGGTTTACAGATCACATGCTCCTCCATGTACCGAAAACTGGTCACGTGCTCCTCCATGCCTCAAAAGTTAAACGCGTACCAATACCCTGCGGTCTCCAGACCCGACCGCAGGGTATTATACATGGAAGTTGTTGGCAAATGTGAAATACATAATCCGACAACACATTTATTTATATAGCAGAAAATAAAGTGTTCTAGAACAAAATATTATTTTTCTTCAGATAAATGATCAGTCTAAATCACATACAGCTTTATCAAAAAATTTTTCAAGCAGCATTTTATAAGAATATCCAAATGATACATTTCCATTGTTGTTTTTTTCTGGGTTTTTTTTATTGTTGTTTTTTTTTTTGTTGTTTTTTTCTAATTTTTTTTATCAATAATTTAAATACTTATGGAAAATGTGACTTATTGTAGGCCAATCCACTTTAAAAGGAATACTAGCAAAAACATCCCTTGCTGATGCAAGGATCTCATTAAATATTATCACAAACAAGCCATCTCATGTGTAACGACTTAGTACTAAACAATATAACATACGTTTGTTGTTGAAAAACTTCATGGAAACGAGCTGAATATTTTATATCTTTACTGATTCCTCATAATGATAATTTAGCTAACTGTGATAGGGACCATGTTTCCGTGACCTGGTTGTATATTAATTAAAAATTTACCTGCGCAACATCGCGTGAATGTCACCAGGGTCTTTCTAAGAGACCCGGGTGTCATGCTATATATAAGATATTACCTTCGATCGTTAATTTGTGTTGCACTTGAAGCCGCTGAAGCAGTGCCATTGTCATGACGGTAGATTATACAAGAAAACGGCGCAGCAATCATAGAAAGTGTAAATGAAAATCAATAAGGCGAACAGCATTAATCATGCGGTGATTTTTACGCATCGGTGAAGATGTAAGATTGACACAATCGTAATTCTCACTTGTATTTGTTTAAACGCTGAATCAATACATCATGTTAAAAATTAACATCCATGTCACTATATATACATGTAGTAACACAGCTGACAGCCTTTCGATGCCAATACGGTAACATCAAGATCATTCTATTCTGGTCATATTGCATCTTTGTATTTATGTTTTCATAATTGCCTGGTAAAATGATGACTTCTGATGACAAACCGGCTAGAAAGTAGTTCCAACTCACACGATCATAACATTCAAAATGATGACACTGAAGCTGTTGTTAAATTTCAATAAATAAATTGTTTGAATAAGATGGCCCTTACTAAAAATAGGAATGTTTCAGTCTCAAATTTCTATTATATCATATGTATCAGATTTAATCAACCTTTATGTTTCAGTTTTGTGTACATTTGTGTAGTAATCTTATTGTCGTAATGATAATAATAATAATAATAATAATAATAATAATAATAATAATAATGATGATGATGAAATTTATTAATGTTACCTTAATACCTAGTGTTATAACAATATACATGTAAAAACTATTCATCATTTTTACGAAATCAATGGACATCGATATCTTTCCAATATAAGTTGCAATATAAGTTATATCACGGCTTTCAACAGCTTAGTACTCGACCAGACGCCGAGTGCCTTATCCTCGTGCCAGGTACCAGGCTGTTTGGCGGTCAACATTATTTCTAGAATTCGATAAAAATGTATAAAATTAAAAAAATAAAATAAAAAAAAAACCCACACACCAAACAAAATAAATACCTTTTTTAGCATGCAGAACTGTTAAATCAGACTTATTTTTTCTCCATTTTCAGACTACTGGGCTGCCACACAAGCGTTTGAACTAATCGGATTCTTCTTGGTAGTTGGGGCGCTTATTCTAAGTATCATTGTTCTCTTCATCAAGAGTGACATGAAAATTCTCAAGCTCATCTGCTGGATTCTTTGTTTCTGCGCATGTAAGTATTCCGAAAACACGGACATCCCGGTGGTATTCTTTAGGCTTTTTAATGGTTCATTTATATACATTCTATTATTTTAGATACATGTATATAACCTTTTTGATAGGACATAAAAGTTATAAAAATCGCCGTCTGGTTAGCTAAAGAGGTAAAAGCGTTGGACTATGAATCGGACGACCTGAGTTCGATTCCCGGGTGGCGCTTTTAGAAACACTAGAACAAACGAGTACTGAGCAATGAGTGCAAAGTTTTCTGCACGTGAAAACAACAACGTTTTGCCTCTGTCGCGGTGTTAACCCACGCGGTCTGCAATCCTTAGAATACTAGTCCGACTCGTTTACCACTCGGTCAAGCCATCACTTATGAATTTATTTCTTATAATAGTATAATGAAGTAACTTAAATGCTCTAAATAGGCCTGTGCAAAGTTCTAACTGGAGCCTCAAACTGGGTTTCTGACCCTGTCTTTCGTCATTTCCTTTGTTATTTATCATAACAATTGTTGAAGCTTATTTAAGCGGAACATGTTTTGGTGAATTGTATTGGTATCATGACCCTTTGTTATAGAAATTTGCCTTTAACTCATATTCACACTAAGATTAAGACACAAATGACAGGCCATGCTGATTATTTGTAAAAAGAAAGGATAATTCTTTTTTTTTTTCTGTTTTACAGGTGGGTTTATCATCGTTGGCATTATAATATATGGGGCAGAGGCTGAAGGTATTTATGCGGAGTTTTCAGGAGCGTTTGCTATCACTATAATTGCTGGAATCATAAGTTTAGCCGCAGGCGTTCTCTGGTTACTGGACTGGATGGGAAAGGCCATGTGAACCTTGAAACATTCTTTACAGTCAATTTATGCCTTAAAATATTTATTTCATATTTCAAAGAACCGAACAGAATATTTATATTTTGACCTAAACATATACTGCTGAACATCAGCCATGACAATACACAAATTAAGTTAATCCATTCTTGGAATATAAAAATATTATATGAGCCGCGCCACGACGACAAAACCAACATAATGGGTTTGCGACCAGCATGGATCTTGACCAGCATCCGCGCAGTCTGATCAGAATCCATGCTGTTCGCTATCAGTTTCTCTACTTGCTATAGGGTTTGTAAGCGAACAGCATGGATCCTGATCAGAATGTACGGATGCGCAGGCTGGTCTGGATCCATGCTGGTCGCAAACCCATTATGTTGGTTTTGTCGTGACATGGCTCATATGTTAACAAATGCAATTCAAATTCTTTATCAATTAGTTATTCGTTCATTTATTCTTTCATTAATACTTTGCTTTAATTGTTTAGATCAATGAGTTTAAAAAGGAAAATTTCTACTGACGAAACCGAGTCAGAAATTTTCATATAATATTGTTGTTCTCATTGATTGCAACAGATCTCTAGAATTTTTTGCTTGCCTTTTTACTCGGTTATGTTTACCATAATTATGTGTACATGTAATTTGATGGGATGAAATTCACTAAGTAAGTTTGCTTATTTTGGTCTAGTAACAATAACTACATATTAAAATGCAGTCTACTATCACATGACAGTTGTTTTAATTATTAATTTTCTGTTAACACTAATTGAGGCCACCGACTTATTTTAAAATGCTGAGAAATTATTTTTACTGAACGACATACACCATCTCTTTGTTTTAGAATCATTGTCTTTTGAATGTATCTTGAATTTGTTAAAAGTGTGAATAATACAAGTAGGATATGACTGCACTTACGATGTGACGTGAGGGTGATTCGAGTCAAAGTCGAAGGTGATGTTAGTGTGAAGCAAGTGTGACATTAGTTTGATAAAAGTGTGAAAGAGTGTGATAAGAGTCTAATATTAGCGTGATAAAAGTGTTATAGAGAATGATGCGAGTGTGAATATGATATAAATATAATAAGAGTGTGAAAGAGTGTGATTTGATACGCGTGTGGTGTCAGTAAGATAAAGTTTGAACTAGTATGATACAAGTTATTATTATTCATGAGTACAATACAGTATTCTTTTGGAAGAGAATACATCTTGCCGAGTCCAATAAAGGTTTTGCAGCTGTGTTATTTTTTGTCCGGTAGAAAGTTATTGTACATAGAATAAATAATGACCAGTTTATTTCTCTTAGTCAAGTTAAAATAGAAAATACGTAAATTCAAGGTAAACTCTTAAGATCAACATTGGATGTAAATTTACTTCTTGGGGTACAATATGGATAATATATGCAAGTTTAGGACCCGGAATTAAATAAATATGAGACTAAATTGGCAAGATTTGATTAAATTATAATATATTTTTGATGATCACATGGTTTGAATACTGGTTACATTTTAATACCTGTGAACTAAATTTACATATGATGCAGGTGAGACGTATAATCATCAGAAACTAAGAATTCATATAGCCTTTTACCCCATTTTTGTAAACAAGCAATTCTTTTACATGGGACGAATACTCTAAAATGATCTGAGTTAATTTTATATATTGTAGACACGTGTTTGAGAGTAAGAGTGATAAGGCGTGTGTGCTTTTGTTTGCTTTCCATTGCATGTTTTATATGCGCTTCAATATTTTACACATTCGACAATGACGTCAGAGACGCACTTGTTTCATAGTTAAATATGTGTATGTTATATATCATTAAATGAGCCGCGTCATGACAAAACCAACATAATGGGTTTGCGACCAGCATGGATCCAGACCAGCCTGCGCATCCGCGCAGTCTACTTGTAAAAGGGTTGGTAAGCGAACAGCATGGATCCTGATCAGACTGCGCGGAGGCACAGGCTGGTCTGGATTCATGCTGGTCGCAAACCCATTATGTTGGTTTTGTCATGACGCGGCTCAAATATCCATGAATACTTTTTTAGTATTGTATTTTGAGTGGTATTCGGATTTGTTTCTTGTCTGGTTATTTTAAATTATATAGAGAATATATAAGTGTTTTTCTCCCTATAAATACAGGATATATTTTCATCGAGCGGTATAAAATATGATAATTTTCAAACCTAGAGATGAAAATATATCCTGTGTTTATAGAAAAGACATCAAATTGTTTGTTTATTGTATACGTTTTCTTTCCGACATTACAATTTGAAAGACTTGCCTTTAAAGTTTGTGTATTGGCTGAATTTAGAAGAAAGAAGTCCGGTGAAAATACGGATACTATGAAAAATAAATTTTAACAGTAAAAATACGGAAAATGAAAATACTAAAAAAAGACATTTTATTTCATCAATGTTTCTCAATATTTCATTTATAGGTATATTTTATTCTTTTAAGTGGATTTTATATTTTAAAAAGTGAATATGTTTAAAAAGAGTTCATTAATTTAGATATAACTGATATGCCATTCGTTATAAACATTATTATATATTTTATTTTCATGTTTTACCAAGAAAGTTCTTTCAATTTGATCATATTGATCACATCCATGTTTACTTTATTGAGATTTTTTTAAGATGACCATTTATTCATACTGTATTGTACACAAACAAATTAGACATATACATGTAGTATAATTCATAGAAATACTGCTTCATAAAAAACAATGGAAATAGGTAAAGCAAAAACATTATTCATTGGTTTTCAGCAATTTTATTCCGGTTTATATATGCTCTTTTTTGTAGACTGTTGTTTTTCCTCGTGTGATAATAAATAATTTTCAACCTGCGGTGTTTTGGATTTGAATATACTAGTATAAAACAATAAACCCTGCTGCCGAATACAGAATTAACCCGTGCGATCGTGCCTTATGATTACTATTCAGTCAGTACATGTAATGAATAAGTCCCTATAAATGATAAATTGTTTTGTCCAGCTTGAAAGACGAACAAGTCCATTTAAGATATGTGGTGATTAGTCTTCACAGACGTACTTGCTGGTTTGGCTCTATAAAAGCTTAATTTTTATCATATTACTTTAAGGGGTGTAAGTCTTCTCGTATTCACCACATATGTTTAATGCAACAGTTTATAGCGAAGTGTCCACATACTGAAAAGTTGTTTGTTTTGCGGCTTTTTTACCTATCATCTTGCATCCTAGAAATCTATGATGGCCATAAATCACTTAGCTGAGTCACAAGGTTTACGTTACAAAACACGTGTAATAGTTTTAGATTCCAAAAACACTTCGAGCATCATAAAAGCGTACAGATCAGATCGAAGCGGATACACAAGTGTTTATATCAATAAAGATGGGACAATTTTAGCATGTGAAATTTACTAAGTTCAAAAAGGGCATAGTTATGTCAAAATCCGTGTATGAGTTATGGGCCTCAAACAGTGGCTATCTATTATATGAGCCGCATCACGACAAAACCAACATAGTGGGTTTGCGACCAGCATGGATCCAGATCAGCCTGCGCATCCGCGCAGTCTGATCAGGATCGATGCTGTTCGCTATCAGTTTCTTTAATTGTTATAGGGTCTGTAAGCGAACAGCATGGATCCTGATCAGACTGCGCGGATGCCTTTATCCGAAATATCTCGGCGGGACGCTCTAGGATGGCCCGACTTGAGTGTACGGTCTCCCAAATGGGCTTTCCGGCGGCGACCTTAAATGAACGCATTAAAAAATTCTCCAATCTCATAATAGCCGAGTTTCCTCATAAAGGCCATACTTTTTTCATAACGGCCTTGTTTAGTGTTCATAATGTTGTGGTGAACTTCATATTAACCTTGCATTGAAGTGAAAACGTGCGTAATATTGAAAAATTAATAAATAATGAAGTTGTAACGGAAAGGAATCCGAACTATATGGACCCTAGAACCACTTATTTGTCTTTATCCGAAGTTTGACGGAAAAGACCGAGGAGTTCCGATTGACATCGGACATCTTTGAACGTATTACAATACTCATAAAGACTTTTGCTTTAATATCAGAAGAGATACAATACATCAATATTATTTAGAATCTATGATCGATAATAAAACCTTACTTAAATTCTGATTGAATATTTTCTTCAATTAACCAGCACAAAGTAAGGCATGTTTTGTACAGCGCTTCAACGACTTAGATTGATAAATTATTGATGAAACGCTTATTTCAATTTTGAACGAATGATTGTCCTATGTTATTGAATCATGACGTTATTTATAACAAAGGGCACCTTCATTTTATCAGGATTAATCAATCAATGCATTTTATTGATCAATATAACGCTGGATTCATCATAATTATATTACATTAATTAATCAGCGGTACGTGGCCTGACAATTCTATCAATATAAAACTGCTGAAGTCATATTTATAATTGATGATAATGGTTACAGTTGACAACGTATGTTACCTGCAGATGTCGGTAATCAATGAATAGCCCAAAAGACCCGCGGCATGTCAGGGCCGATTTCTGAACAATGCTTGCAATTTTTCAATGTCAGTGTCGGCTGAACACCACTATATATAGATACTTTCCTACCTTTGGAAATGATATTATTTGACATGAATGTCTAATTTGATAAAAGAAAATTGATAGAATTTGAAAAATTTAACACGAATTATCAGACCATAAACCACTAAGGGAGCACTTTGCTGCCTTAGTTTGTTTCTAATTTCATCTTGAAAACATACAAAACTGAAAACATCGATGGAATCTGTAAAAGATACCCCTACTTAAATAAAACATTAGATTAATTCTTTAGATACAAAAAATAAAATCATAAGCGATAGATCAATTTGATTAACAAATATATATGCATATGAATAACGTGTATATCATCACGAGTGAAACACACATATACATGCGCATATGCACCCGGTAAATCAAACACATTTATCAAAACAACAACGCTTTAAGAGAAAAAAATAAAATACCAATTGTTATGAAGTGAAATAATACTCTTTTTCTTAATTTTTACTCGTTCAAAGATTAAACAGAAAACCACAGTGCAAAGACACAACCAAACGAAGGAAGATAACTCATTTTAAGTTAGATTATGACGCAATGAAAGTAGTGCGCCTTTATCATATATAAATTAACAACTTATGAGAAGCAATATTTACCTATAATTCACGCAGCCAAGCAGCACATACATTAATTAGCTTTGGGGACTTCATTTTTATGTCGATAAGCTTCAGGGACTATTTTTACAATTCGAATAGTCAATTGCAATAGACTATTTAAGTAATGACATAGCAAAGAAAATAAATATATAAATAAATACACAGTTTTCCAAGCTGTTATGCAAATATCTTGGTTGTAATATGCAAATGAGCAACAGTTTACAATCATGAATCAGACACATGTGCGTTAGTTATAGTTTACAATCATCCCATTATATGATGAGATCCACAATTTATTATCAAAGAAGTAAATTAATCTTCGGACGCCCCCTAACGATATGTTTATAATTTCTAGATGCTTATGCCTTATTTGTCTCCATAGACCCATACCATATCATATTTTGTGTGTGAACAAAAAATAACAATTTAGGCAAAATGGTTAAAAACATACATACTGCTGGCTTAGTTTGATTTTTATCTTGATACCCCTACAAATGATAATGAAACATTCTTGGAAAATCCATTTAGGAAGTTCAACCGGTTTATTGTAAATCATTCTCAATAACCACTCACGCCGACACAGGTTTTAGGTCGTATTGCAACTTCCCAGCTTAACTGACGGAGGTGTATCTCAAACAATATATCAGACACAAGCACCCACGCTCGGTTTATCACACGACTATCCCATTCGCCAGTACTCGGAAATAATGCTTAGATCTTAGGTTGAGTATACCTTACAGTCAAAATGTTCATAACCGAGTTAAACAGCAAAAAATACAACAACAAAATGAACAACAACAAAAAAACTTATAAAACACGTAACTTAAGCACGTTCAAATGATTTCATAGTAATATACCACATTCAAAGGCACGCCTTACGTTTTAATAAATAAGCAAAGCTTTTTTCACTAGTACACGAGTACGCATCAAGCATAAAATAATGCGTAAATCTACATAAAACAACAATAAATGAAGTAACCAATCAGAAACAAAGCCGATCTTATGCGTAGACTGACACAACTATTTAATCATGATGAAGCGATTACACATTTAGGTTAAAACTCATTTTGCGTAAATAAATCTTACACAATCGTGTTTTTTTTCCTTCTCCCATAATGCATCAGTTTACTTTGTTACTAAAAGTGTAGGCGATCTGGAAACATTGAAGGCTATATAAATTTGAAATTAACAATTTTAGTACAAAAATAGTTCACAAAGTCGGTTGGAATTATTGTTATTATTGTTATTAAATATTTTGGAAGCGAATGCTTAAATTTTCGTCGTGAATTATGTTATTTCCTGTGTTATTATGGTCTTTAAGTACAATTCTGAAAGTCTGTGGAAAGAATATACCGTTGGATTTTTCTGCCAAAGAACGCACTGTCAACACAGTATTAAATGATGTGGAACAGAAGAAATCCAATCAATGGAGCCAGTTTCCTAGCAAGGATTTATTTGAAAATAAATTAGAAAATTTGATGCAGCTTGATAATTTGTTTCATGTAAAAAGCAAGAACATAGGTTCCACCTTTGCTCCGGCATCATATTCTTCAACTTCATCAGCAACATCAACAACCACGAAACATTCACCATCATCACGAGCATCACCGTCACAAAGACAACAACCATCAGCAACAACATCGGCAACAAAAACATTACGAACGTCATCATCACCACGTCCATCACCAACAGCATCGAAATTATCAACCTCCCCATCAAGAAAAAAATTACAATTAACAACAACTGAGCAGAAAACAACGACGCAAAAAACAACCAAGGCTACGCGTGGCGCATTTAATTTCCGGAAAAGGGAAGCTGCCAGTTCAAAACCATCAACAACTTCTAAAGCTACTACATCGTCTACAACTAAACCTACAACAACAGTCAAACCAGGTAATGCATATTTTGGTTTCCAATAATCTTACCAAGTTCTCTCTTCAAATCCTTTAATTTCTACTAAATATGAAACCATTCATAAACCATTCTTTAATTTCTTATCACTTTTTGTATCTGTTGTTTGCATACACATTTACCTGTCATCCCTTTTACATAAACCATTTGTAATTGTCTAAAAGTTTTCACCTTTACTTGTATTCATATATCATGAGGTTAAGAAATTAAGGCTTTTTAACAAATTTGTTGTACATCATAACTGTTAAATACTTTTTGCAAAAGTAATATTATCTAATAAAGAGTTTATCAGATGAAAGATTTTTTTTCTTTTGATACATTTGTCATCATTCAAGAGGATCGGTTATAGTGTAAAACACCGTCAAACAACTCCCGCCGCCGTGTTAATTTGTTTGCACATTCTTTGATATAAATTATTGTAAAAGGTATTTCATTTTACATTAACACACATATTCCACGTTCGAAAATATTGTATAATTTAGATCTGTTTCAGATTCAGGGTATTTCAGATTCTAGTCGTTTAATCTAGTTTAATTATAGCATGTCAAACACTATCTAACCGTTACTGTTTAACAATTTGCTTAACAATAAGCAAAAAACAGAGCCACCAAGCATTTTCGTATTCACCATTTATATAGATGTTTGTTTCTAAAAACCTAGAAACACACAAAACAATGAGAAGTGCTTATTGTGTAATGTAATGTTCATGGATTAAGAAGTAATCAGTAAGTTATGTTCACAAGGTGAGTAGCAACAAGTGAGTTATGTTCATTTAGAGAGTTATGTTCATTTACAAAGTAACGTTTATTTAGAAAGTAATGTTTATTTTGAGAGTTAATGTTTATTTAGAAGGAAATGTATCAGTGAAAGTTCGAAATAGACCATTGAGTAGTTTTATTGATAAGTGTATTGGAGTTTAAGTAATTCTTGAAGTGATTCAGGTAGTAGTTATGTTAGTGTTCAGTGAATAATATTTCATATTGTGAGTAGTGCTGAGTTAGTCATATAATTAATTTGTAACATTTTGAGAAGTTTTCAGACAGTATATTTTTCACATAGTATGTGTTGCTACGTTATTCTTAAGTTTTGATACTGTATAGGGAGGGTGAGCAGTACTTAATGGGAAATGTTCACAACGAGATAGTACTCGGTGATTGAAGTTCACGTTCAATGGTGTTGAAGTTCTTAGTGAATGTACTCGTGTGTGAGTACTTCTCTTAATGTAATGCTCTTGGACTGATGTGTTTGGTAGGTTTTGTTCAAAGAATGAGAACTTTTCAGTGAGTTATTGTAATTGAGTGAGTAGTGCTTAGTAAGAAACAGCTATGCAGTTTTAATGTGCGACTAGATACACCCATCAATGACGATGAGTTGGAAGTGACCGTGCTACCATGTAGTTAGTATATGTAATCAAAGATTGAAAAATGAAATATGTATACCAACACATCATTGACTTTTAGCATCATGCATGCACTGGCGGGTTTCCCCTTCCATTAGTGAAAACACAATATTAGGCTTGCATTTTAAGAAATCATGATTACATAAACTAATTCAGTAAATATATTTTTCCGTCATTTCAGCTGAGAAGATCACATTGAATCCTAAATGTCTTATACTTAAAAAGTAAGTATTTTAAACTTTGATATATTTTATTATTTGCAATGAAAGGTACAAAAGTACTTACAGAAATTTTCCACAAGATATTTTACGACACATATTACAAGAATTTAAATTAAGAACAGAAATGCTTGGTAGCATAAGTTGATCAAATTGGTAATCATTAGCGCTAATTTAATCAGTTATTACTTCTATGTCTTTAAATTACAATATTTTAATATTTTAAGGGACTAACTCAAGAACTGCACTCTTTAAGGGGAGCGGTGGCCTAGTTGTTAAGGCGTCCTTCTTCAACCCAGAAATAATGGGTTCGAGCTCTAATCAGGTCACGGCCATGTTTCTTCATATGACAACAGTATTGGTTAGTTCCAGGAAGCGGACTCAAAAGTGATTAATATATGTTGCAAATCTGACTAAAGTTCAGATCTACTTATTTCTTACAATGCATAGCGTTATTTCGGAGCTGATTTTAAACAGATTGTATAAGATGCTAAAACTTGTTTCCCAATTGAGCTTAAATATATGGGCCATGCCATGACAAAACCAACATAGTACATTTGCGACCAGCATGGATCCAGACCAGCCTGCGCATCTGCGCAGTCTGATCAGGATCCATGCTGTTCGCTATAAATTTCTCTACTTGTAATAAGGTTTGTAAGCGAACGGCATGGGTTCTGACCAGACTGCGCGGATGCGCAGGCTTGTCTGGATACATGCTGGTCGCAAATGCACTATGTTGGTTTTCTCATGGCACGGCTCAAATGTTAAAACCAACTTCAAACTACAATCATTTCCGCTGATTGGGATAAAAAAAAATAGTACGCTCCATTAACCGTTGTAGGCTTACAGTCCAACAGGGACTTTCAATTCTATAATGTAAGATATAAATCTTCTTAGCTGAACCAAGTTTATGGGGAACACCGAAGAACTATGACAACAAATATCAAAGGCGTAAATGCTGATTTACTTTACTTCATTACAGACTTTCCGTAAACCTTCGCCGACGTTTGACGAAAAGAGCCGAAAAATTGCCATAATTCAATTTCCTCTTTTGAATGCTTTGGGAATCACGAACACGCTTTCTCTTATATAAACGAATCTTGCAGATTACTTACTTTAAAAAGATTATCATTTGTTCTTTTTTTCTATTTTAGGTTGAACGCTAAATTACCTCCGGACTGCACAAGCACTTCGAACATAATGGATCCGTGGAATTGAGTTGTACATTGCATATAGATATATACTCACGAAAAAATATACAAAAAATGTTGTTGTTTTTTTCTTCTTCAGTTTTAGTTCATCTAATAAAAAATACTGTAATGCGTTCTTTCTTATGAAGTAGAAAATCTAGACTTTTTTAAATAAAGATGTTTTAACAGGTTATATCGCCCAGTACAGACGGTTAAACATATGAACAGGACTGTTTATTCCTGACCTTTAATAATTAAATATATTATTGGGTTAGTAAGAAAATCCAAAGCAATTAAATTTTATATATCAGAAGCTCCTAGTATGTAGTGATGGTTTGAAAGGCAGACTGTGACGCAGTTATTTGTCGCAAAGACGCCAAATGTTCCACTTGGCGCTAAATGTTGCGCTAAAGCCGCTCAAAACACCACAATGATGACGTCAAATACCACCCCATTTTCCCTGAAATATCACATCACTACCGTAAAATGTCGCATTATCTGAATTCATGTTAACAACTGTTATTTTGTCAATATTAACGTTATGTACGTAATTTTGTGACTAGCTATCTATCTCATAGGAAAAGATTTGCTGTGATGTACAAGCTAATACGATGAAATTGAAGTTATCTTAGCCCGTATTATAAATTGTCGACCACAATTTTTTGCCAAAGAGCCCCTTGGTGATGAAATACATCTGTATACGTTTAGTAACCCACATGTCGAGGATTTGAATCAGCTTTAGATGGATCGAACACAACGATAAGTTTATTCTCGAAAAAAATCAAATCAAACTCAATCTCAGATCAGAATTTTTATATTTTGTGCCGGTCTACAAGCATGTTTTGTTTGCGGTTTATCTTTTCTTGAGAATGTTCAGCAATCCAAACTAGCCCGGTCGAGGTGAAAATGCTGGCATTGTAGACAGATATTTCCTAGGCTGCCTAAGATGACGGAACATGCTCTGAAAGTGGCTAACATTCTGACTGAACTCAAGCTCACTCTTTTATCATTTTCTTCGTATCGTACCTTTATCTTTTTTAAGTGAGGCTTTAAACTATCATTTTAAATAGTTTTCCTCATTAGTATGAAAGTAATCTGTTATGTCAATCACTGTTGTGTTTATAGACGTAGGATTATACTTTAAATTTTAATGTAATATGAAATGGCATTGAATTGATGGACATTTCAAGCGATTTCAAATTAATTCTTGTAAATAAATTAAAAAAAAAATAATTACGCGGTGCTGGTATGGAATCGAACCAGAGACCTTTAGATTGGTAGTCCGACATCTATACCAATACACCATGAAGTTTACAAATATATTGATATATGCGATAGATACTGGTCAGTGATTATTCAAATGACCTTTACGAATGTCAATGAAGTGCCAGGTCAATATTGTTGGACAATACCAATGGCAAGCAGCTAAACTTATGTTTACTCGTGGTGGATTTTGTTCTATTGTGCTATGTTTACACAATATGTTTTATTTAAAAAAAATGCGATAACAAAATGCTGACCGTGTCGGGGTAATAAGCTAATGCGAGTTATATACCTTGTATATATTTTATATAGAAAACGGGTGCTGGGTCTTAATAATCAAAGGGCGACTTTTTATGATAATTTGACGATTATTGGCATGGCAAATGTGCCGGACGCCTGTGATGTACAGTACATGTTAACTCTTCTTTTGTAAATAGAAAACAAGTTTTTTTATTTCCAAAAATACTTATTATGGCAATTAGTATAATGATAGTGAATCAGTAGTTTGCACAGGACCTTGAAAGTATGTCAATAACAGTACATTCCATTCCCACACAAGTTCATATAGGGGTGGCATTTTTATTGACATAATTTCAAGGTTCTGTGTTTTATATTTTGTATGGAAGTCAAAATACTACTGCAGTTACATTTTGCTACCTTAATGACACATTACTAGTTCGCTTGTGTTTACATTTTTGTGGTAAATTAAGGATGTCAGAAACAAATAGGTCTTCAGAATGTTATGGTATGATAGCCTAATCATTGATAGTATATATATAAATGTACATGTATATGAGTTGAACTATACAATCAAAAGTCATACGACTACTTTCTAGCTTTACTGATTGAAGAAGACCGTGGCTGCTACTAAGTTTTTTACATTATTAAAGACTCAAGCATGCACTTGAGTAGAACCACAGATGTCCCATAAGATATAGATAGCTGGGGAAGAAATCAAAGTTTAAGTTAAACATATTTTATTGTATATTTATACATACATAGATTTTCACAATTATACATAAATACATTTATGTAAATATACAAAAGGGTTGTGCCAAAAGTTATAACAATATATCGGTGGCCCTCCCCTGAACTGCAATGTTATCTAAAAATAGATGTGAAAAAGACAAAATTATGTGAAGAAAGATTTAAGAAATTGAAATCTAAGAAAACAATACTTAGAGAGAAAAAAGTAAATAAATACATTTTCTGATATTTTGAAAACCAGGCCGCCTACTCCCTACAGCAGTTTTACTATGCATTTTAACAGTTGACAATAGTGTTACCAATTTGTATAGAATTGTAAAAAAAGATATAAAAGAAAGTCAATTGTTGTAAAACTATGTAAACTTTTCGTTTCTTTAATAAAAAAGATGAAAATGATGAAATAAAAGCACATTTTGAGAATATTTTAAAGTATTTACACCAGGGGCGTCCGTTGCCGAGTGGTTAAGGTCGTTGACTTCAAACCACTTGCCCCTCACCGCTGTGGGTTCGAATCCCGACAGGGACTTTGGATTCTTTCATGTGAGGAAGCTATCCAGCTAGCTTACGGAACGTCGGTGGTTCTACTCAGGTGCCCGTTCGTGCCTGAAATAATGCACGAAAGGGCACCTGAGGTCTTCCTCCATCAGTAAAGCTGGAACGTCGCGATATGACCTATACTGTGTTGATGTGACGTAAAACCCAAAACAAACAAACAAACAAACAAACAATTTACACCAAAAAATATCTGGCGTACTGAGAGGATGAAATTCTCTTGTATTTTTTAAAAGGTTTAATAATCTGATGACTATATTGTTGGCATTGAAATAAAAATGTTCAACAAAATGTCTTTCGGGTTTCTAACACAAACTGCAAACTTCCTTTTTAGAAGGAAAAACTGATTTGTTCATGAATTGAAACATTATGATAATCCAATGATAAATGATGTAACAAATGTGCAGTATTATAATTTGTTAATGATGAACAGGCATAGTTTTTAGACATGTACATGTAATATAAAGAGTTAAGATATTTTGATAAAAATGAAGTCGAAAGCTTCTCGTTCAGACTGGATTTGTTTCTAACTTAAAGTCTTATTATTATACACTTTAACTATGCATTTAAAGAATATATATTATTTAACTGCTATGGTGTTTATTAAATGATTCCTTCCTGTGGTGTCGTTGGGTTCACCTTCGGTTTAAAGAGATACCTCCTTAAAGGGTATCCACTTTCCCCACAGAAAACCCACTATTAATTTGTTCTAAATGTGTCTGAAAAATTACAGATCATAAGCACTTGTTTTCACATTCTACAGAAAATTCAGAAATGCTTGATAGAAACAGTTAGAAAAAAATAGTTTTGTCCTTAATCATTTAGTATAAAATTAGGACTAGCATTAAAATTAGAAATCCATTAAGGGTATTCAATGCAGCTGTAATTTATTTCATAAAAAAATTGTGAAAAACTTCCACCTGTAACCCACAAGCATTAATCGTTTGCTGCATCATGCTATGATCCAGGTCACCTTGAAACAACATCTGTGAATCTACAAGATTTGATAAGTAAATCCGGTATACATTGATTTTATTAATAAATCTACAAGCAATATATTAATTTGATAAATTAATCTGGAGATGTACCTTTTTTTCTTCATAAATTGCCAGTAATATGCTTCCTTTTTTTTCTCCAACATTGTAGTGTTATAAAAGTGTATATTAAGTTCATCTTCATTATACTGACTGACTGACAGTTATCAAATTTTAATTTTATGTTCACCCTGGGACACTTCTTAGATTTAGAAACTAAACTAGATTCCTTTTTTAGAACTCGTAATCTATCACAGGTCTGGAATCAGTGACGTAAAGTAGTGTAGTCTTGTTTTTTAAAATAGTCTAGTAAAAAAAAACCACAAAATTTTGCTCAGATTTGTATTCAGAAATAGACTATTGTGTATGAAAAGTAATCACGAGAATGTCAATAGATGCTAATTGACGAAGTGTCTTAGAAATTAAATTGAATTAGATTCAATATAACCATGTCACATGGAATTTAATATAAGTAGGTAACAATGCACAACTTCACATACTAACTTAATGATCCTTAAGTATTCTAATATTTAAAAGCGTACAAATTCGTGAAATGTATTGGCTTTAAACACCCCGTGAAGGTCCCTAATTTCTGAGATGTTTCACCCTTTGCGAGGTATCGAAGTCTAATGAGAACCTGCAATGAAAGAAAGTCATATTGTTTTTTATTTATTGATTTGCATGAAATAAAATAACTTTGATAAATGTTTATGTAACCACAAAAAATATGTCTAGATCTTATATGAATTCACTTGTTTAATACAGATTCTATTATTATATATATTGATGAAAACTTGTGTTGTTGAGACAAAAAATAATTTTGGATAACTTAAGCATTTTACATAGATTTCAACATTTCTAACTAGCAAATGCTAACGAAAACAGAACATTCATAGGACCTCAGGCATAATCTTAATGTTGAAGAATATAGGATAAGTAACGAGCAACATATGGTTTTAACAAGTAAATAAATAATATATATTCAAATAAATATTTGTTGGTGGTTTTAAGAGTGTAAAGAAACCCCATTACACGTAATTAAAGTTTCAGTATAATACCTTACATTAGTCGAAAATGGAGTTTTGAGCTCAAATGACCATTTACAGTTCGATTTTCGGCTTAATGTCTGCAAAATATCAGAGTTTTACCGAAGGACACACTGAGACCAGAGAATATGTCAAACACAACACACTTTTTTTCTTTTTTTTCTCTTTCCGTAGTAGTTGTATTTCCGGTTATTCTGGCTGGCCGGAAATTGAGGTAATAATAAATATGACATTACATTATGAAATAAATTGATGATCTTTTGCACATGTTTTACTGTATCATCTCTGGCTACACTATGCAAAATGTGTTTCGGCTGCTCCAGTAGTCTGGCTAACTTCACTAACATCGTCACACCTTTTATTGCTTTTTTACAGACAAACATTAAAACTACAACAAAATAGATTAAATTCAGTTCTGATAGTCTATTCTTTCAAGCTACATTTTTTTCCTAGAAACGGAATAAACATGCTATAATTTACGGCCTCGGTTCACGCAATACCACGTTTTGTAGACAGTAATGCAGTACCAGTACCAATATTTGCAGCATAACCCGACTATGGCTCGAATCCTTAATCCCATTGTTGAAAGGCAGACACCTTAACCACATAATGAAGGCTTCATCAACATATAAAGTCGAGTCAGGGAAAAATAAGGGAATTATCAGGGAATTTTATATAGAAATATTAGTGATCACTATTATGGAAAAGATGCTAGAATTATGAGCCTTGTCATATATGACATACATTGGTGGTGATCAAAAATTATTTTAATGATCAAAAAAATTACAAAGAATAAGACTTTAAAACAAAATTTTAGACCAAAGGGGAAAGAACTCTTTAAATATAGATATTAAAGTTGATACATAACTCCTTTGTAATATGGTATGTTTGAAGACAAGTCAATTTTGCATTAACATTGTACATCTTAAGAGAACAATTACATAAACTATGAACTTCATTTCTCCCCCTCTGCTTTTATCATGGCTTGGGACATGCTAGTTACTAGAACTAGGCAGCATTGGGAGAAGTGTAGTTTTATAGTTAGTCCAATCACAAACACCATGTTTCACTTCAATATACTGGATGGTTTGAGTCCACACAAAATCACTACACCTCTCCCCCATCCAGTGGACAGACAGTTTCTATGGTAAATGTCACTTTAGTGTCCATACACGTGTAATTCCGGAATTAAATGGTTACCATCGATTACGTTTCTCGTCCGCCATGAAGAATCAGTCCTGTGATAATAAAAACAGATTCCTATCATTCATAGTAAAATACAAGTATTTACTGAGAAAAAAATATTTCATTAAATAAAGTCTTTAGTTTAAACAAATATTTTAGCTCGATTGCGAAACAAGTTCTTGCACCTTATATTCCTGGGACTAACCAGCACTGGTGTCATATGAGGAATAATGATCGTAAACCGAGTCGGGCTCGAATCCATAATTCTTGGCTTGAGAGGCAGACACCTTAACCACTAGACCACCACTCCCCTCAAATAAAAGTGTTGAAAAATATTTTTATTATATTTCTTATTTCTTCTACATTAATTAAAAAAAAATAAACAGTTCATCAAAAGAAAAAAAAATGTCTTCAAAAAGTATTGATCCTTTTATCCAGACACTGCACTCAATCATAAGTTAACATGATGCAAACTTGCCGTTTCAAAATGTCTTCAAGATAAACATTTGAACTAAATATAACTCTGAAGAAAAATAAATAAGAAATTAAAATCATACCAAAAACTTAGATATAAAAGTACATTTATGTAGTGTAATCACATTTTGCAATCGGAATTACAGAAATTATTAAATAAATTAACAATGAAAATGACCAAGAGTTATCTATGTAATACATTGACTTTATTAATTTACCTGCATAGTTTGATTCTTGATATCATATGTGTGGATATTCTATAATGCTCAAATTAGCAAGCAACTTGTGAAACCTTTTTGTGCTCTGGGGAAAATTTAACCCAAATTTTCAAAAATTACCCTTTTAGATAAGACCCAAATTGCACCCTCTAATGCCCTTTTTATCGGTGTTCAAAGCCCCCAAAATTTTTTACAGTAAAAAATATGTTTTAAAATTTTGGGTTTTAAAACCCCAAAAAGCAGTTTTTTATAATATATCTGAAAAAAATTTTCCCATGTGTTTTAAAGAGAAACCTAAAAATTTTTTCGGGCAACAAAAAAAATAAATATTTTTGTTAATTTAGACGCAATAAGCTTTATCATAGAAATGATTTCGCTAAAGAAAAACACATTATAATGTCATATAAATTCACCTCTTCGATCTCAGTTAATCTTTACTGACACATCATATCCGACTCCTTGACCGTGCTCATATCTACAAACAGCATAAAAGGCTTTGATAAAGTGTTAATAAACCATCCCAGATTGTTAGGTGTGCACATCTTTTATAACCCCCTTCTTAAAAGAACAAAAATGATTAAACCCTCAGCTTGATTATAATTTCCCTTAAATAATTAAAATAATTTGATTTTTTTCAATATTTACTGAACCTTACATTTATTCACATTACCAAATACTTTTTGTCAAAAAATCTTTTTAATCTAATAACAATCGTCAGATTTATTAGGGTTTTGTTTATTTATATTTTATGACAATTCAACACAAAAGTCATACATACGAATGTGCAGGCTGTTGTTTTTTCCTGCCATCAACACAAAGTTACTACTTCATTTCTGTCATCAAGTCACATCTCCAGCTCCTTATACGAAAAAGAATTAATAAATATAGGGCAATTATCATAATAGAGAATAAATCTATTTCTTTAAAATATTAGATTTTACAAGTTTTGACATAGGTTAATAAAGGTAATTTTGAAGTAATTGAAAAAACTATTTAATATAGTCTTATCATTTCGGACCAATTCACTTTAAATATTTTCATGAATCATTTACTTGATTTAAACTACATGTAATACCTGGACGATTAATGTGGAAATATTTTCTAACAATACACCATATCCATCTCTCTCAACAATGAAACAACTTCCAGTCTTACAAATCTGCCGGTACAGAGGTGTAGAAAGCTGCCTCAAACACGAAACCTTCTTGCGAGTAAATAAGTGCCGGTCCTCTCGAAAGAATCGTGACCAGTCTTGATCAACTTCCACAGTGTCTGCCAAGTCCTTGATTATCCTAGAAGCTGAATAATAAAAAAAGCAAAGTCCAAAAACTAATTATCTCCTACCCTTGGACATTAAACAATTGATTACAAAATACTTCTGTTTAAATATAATTTAGAATTGAAAAAGACTTTATTGTGAAATATAGAAAACTATACTCCAATCTCATGATATTTTTATAGTATTATCATTTATTGCAAGTAAAATTTCGTTTTAACTTTTACCTCCATCAGTAATGAAAACTGTTTTCTTTGGACCAAAACCATCTTCTTCTTTTGACATATACCACTACTAGTAAGCAACCTCATGGGGATGAATCCAAACATCTGCATTCTCATATCTCAATACATGTCAACATTGGAGGCTAATCAGTCGAAACATTATATGATCAAAGGGAGCATAATCTGTTTATAATGTTTATACCAACAATCACCTGGGGTCTTCCTTCATCAGTAAAGAGACAACTGAACACTTAACTATCAACTAACAACTCTTTCAACTGCCTTTAAATCTTATAACATATCATCATGAAACATTTGGACATACAATCGTACAAAAGGAAATATTTATAAAAGACTGTTGGCAAACGAAACATAAGAAAATAATTTTATTAAGACTTAGAGGTCATGAGATTATAACATTTTCAATACATTTTAACAATCATAAGACAATAGAGATTCATTAAAACACAACGACAATATGTTTACATTTAAGACGACTCGCATGGCCAGATCATCGGAACGGGAAATATTATGACATATATTTGACAACCGTATTATACAAAGATATACAGGACACTGATAATATTTTATTTGGATGGGAGAAATTTGATTGAAACATATCAATTAGTAACATTGGAAATACATTTTGAAAAATATTAGGACCAACAGAAATTTTTTAATTACAACACATTTGACCGTATTTAAAACATTTTACGCGAAAAAAAATTGCAGACGACCCGCGTTTAGCCAGGGTACCGGCAACGGAAAATACTATGACACCTGTAAGACAATTTCAAACCAGAATTTTAATAGAATTAAAGAAACCATACAGCATTTTTGGAAGGAAGTAATTGTAATTTGAATATATACATGTTAGTAACATTGGAATTTTTTTTAAACAAATATTAGACAATAGATTTAAATTACAACACAAATAAAATGTTTACATTTTAGCGAAAAATTAACCGATGACCCGCGTGGCCAGAACATCGCAACTGACATTATTATGACACATATTTGACAACTGGGAATTAGAAAAATAGAAAATAAAGGACCCATACAGTATTTTATTTGGATGGGAGTAATTGTAATTTAAATATACATGTTAGTAACATTGCAAATACTTTTTAACAAATATTAGACAACAAATTTTAATTAAAACAAGTATAATATGTTTACATTTTACCGAAAAATAACCGACGGCCCGCGTGGTCAGGACATCGAAACTGAAATTATTATAACATATATTGGACAACTGAAGTAATTTTTAAAGAAATACAGGACACTAATAATATTTTATTTGGATGGGAGAAATTTGATTGAAACATATCAAAAAATAACATTAGAAATACAATTTAACAAATATTAGACAATACAAGTACCATATGTTTACATTTCAGCGAAACATAACCGACGACAACGCGTACGCGGGACATTGCAACGGAAAATATGACACAGGTTGAAAAATTTGAAACCAGAATTGAAATAGAATTTAGGGACACATACAATCATTTATTGGATGGAAGTAATGCTAATTAAAATATACATGTTAGTAACATTGGAAATACTTTTTAAACAAGTATTAGACAATAGATTATAATTACAACACTATATGTTTAAATTTTACCGAAAAATAACCGACGGCCCGCGTGGCCAGGACATTGAAACTGATTATTATGACACATATTTGACAAATGGAAAACAGCAAAATAGAAATAGGGGGCACAATCAAATATTAGACAACAACACACGTATAATGCGTTTACATTTAAAGCATGACGCCCCACCGGTCAGAACATCGGACAGAAAATATTATGACACATATTTTTCAATCGCAGTCTTAATAGAAGTACAGATAACAACTGGTATTTTAATTAGATTGGAGAAATTTGATTGCAAGTAAAATTAGTAATACAATTTATCAAATATTAGACAACATATTTTTATTATAAGTACAGTATGTTTATATTTTAGAAAGAAATAACCAACCACCCACGAAGCCGGGACAACGCAACAGAAAATATTAAACCACATGTTGGACAAGTTGAAACCAGACTTTTAATAGAATTAAATGACACATACAGTATTTTATTGATGAATGGAAGTCATATTCATGTAAGTAATATTGGAAATACTTTTTTTAAACAAATATTGGACAACATATTTTGATTAAAACATAATAAATAAAATATGTTTATATTCAAGCGATAAATAACCGACGTTCCGCGTGGCCAGGACATCGCAAATAAAATTATTATGACACATGTTTGACAATGGAAAACAGCAAAATAGAAATAAAAGGCGCATACGGTATTTTATTTAGGAGAAATTGTAACTCAAATATGCATGTTAATGCATTGGAAATGCATAGTTTAACAATTATTAGAAAACGGATTATAACGACAACAAAAGAACAATATGTTAACATTTAAAGTAAAAATGCACAGTGAGCGGCTTGGCCAAACATCGGAAAGGAAAATAATCCAACACAAAAGGACTCTCGAGAAATCGGTACCAGTCTTGATCAACTTTATTGGTGTTTGCAAAGTCCTTCATTGCTCCAGTATTCTCAGCTATTATGTCACAAGGCAGCTCTCCTGATTTATTTGCAGAGGTGTCTCTAAGTGTAATAATATAGAAAAGGACCGTTGATAATTATCTCAAAACATTTACTTTATCTAAATAAACTGTTTAAACTTAACATATTACAATTTATTTGTTGGCTTTTAAGTAACATGACGACACTCCAGCTCTTTTGTATCGGAGTAGAACCATTTGACAATTCCTATCATCTGTAAAATATACCTTATTGAAATAAATATTTATTTAATAAACCTTTCAAATATGTTATTGCTTATTGAAATATGTATTAAAATGAAATACTTTATTTCTCCCTCGATGCTGGCCTGTCTCCAGAATAACAATGTCATGTACACAATACACAGTTGACCAATGCTCCATCATGCACCTTCCCAACACAAAATTTTCACCAATGTTACACAACCATCCTTATTTCGACATTATCCATCATCACAACGTTGGACACCAATCTAGCATTCATTGTTCAAGGGTTTACTGAAAGGTCACTAGGGTTAACAGAACAACATTCAAATCGCAAAATGTGAATATTTACTTTAAATAAATCTGTTTAAAATTTGACTGGTTACAAATTATCTTTATTTCTTTTTAAAGTAATATGGCGACATTAATGCTACATTGGTAAATGAAATATTGCCACTATATGCATTATTTCTATTTACGTAAAACCACAAGAACTGTCTTAAAATCGATTGCAAGTCAAATTACAATTAACAAAGCTATGGAAATTTTCCTTGTCCAATCAAAAGTCTAGTCCATTAAACATAATGGAAATAGCAGTTATTATAACGACATATTTATTTGATTTAACAGGGGTTTCCAACCCTCTTCATGAATATAACCATGATTCATTACCTTTAATATGTAATCACAGCTCTTATGCCACATGACAACTCTCCAGCTTTATTTGCAGATGTGTCCCTAAGTACAATGTATGTTAAAGACAAGGGCCGGGGACAATTATCCCAAAATGTAAATATCTTTATTTTATCTTAAACTGTTTAAACTCAACATATAATAATTGGTTTGTTTTTAAGTCATATGGCGACTTTCCAGCTCTTTTGGTACATGAAGATGTGAGTCTAAGTGCAATGTTTCAGGCAAGGGGTTGTACCGTAGTAGAACCATTACAGTTCCATCTGCTAGCTAACTAGACAACCTATATTTCACAATTCCTATTATCTATAAAATATGCCTCATTGAAATTATTACTTATTTATTGAATAAACGTTTCAAATATATTCTTACTTATTGAAATATTCAATAACAGAAATACTTTATTTCTCCTTCGATGCTGGCCTGTCTCCAGAATAACAATGCCATTTACATATTACACAGTTGACCAATGCTCCATCATGCAACTTTCCAACACAAACT